CATAACAATAATGTTGATTTTGTACTGCAAGCTTTGAATGTTTAAAAAATGGAGATAAGTTCTGTTATGTTCTGCCAAGCACATGTAACCATAATTGAAGTCTTACTAAAAGCATTAGGGACATTTATTAATTCATGTTTAAATTTACTCAGCAATTATTCTACAAGGAAGTTGAATTCACAAGACTGTCTCTTTTACATACAGTACACTTCAAATATGTAACTGCACATCACATCATTTTCACCCCAATTGTGCCCATGAAATAAAGCACACTAGGTGCTGACGTTACTTATGCCATAATTTCAGTGTGCACTGAAAGGCTCTCCACTTGTTCTACCTCTTGGTAGTCTCTATTTAGTAATCCATATTTATCTTCTACAAGAATATTTCCATAGACCTAACTTCTCCCAGAAAAAAGGACATGTATAGTCCTAACTTCTTCAAAAAATCTCTGTAGTCCTTAATTCTCTATGTTTCTATATAGTCTTAACCTCTTTTGAAATTTATCCGCAGTCTTAATTTCTCCAAGAATTTTTATATAGTCCCAGCTTCTCAAAATAATTTCTTTAGTCCTCAATTCTCCAAGAATATCTACCAATATACTGTGGTCACTTCTCCAAGTGATAGTGTTAAGCACAGCCACGCTAACTGCAAACTTTGGTTGGTGCACCGCTAACTCACTTTTCCCCAAAAAGGTTTCATTAATCATTTTGTGTGTGAAAATATCCTGAGATATCAGAATATGGAACTACGTGTCCAAATATAAGACTATTGTTTTTATTATATTTTAAATATTATAATTTAATTTCTGCATCCACTCCATTATTATTAACAGTGTACACCTAAGTGTCACTGCATATGGGGATGTGAAATTGCAGAACATCAATAGCTATAGTTATGATAATTCAAATGTTCTATTTACTTCTGCAACCAGTCCTGTCATAACAGTGGGAACACAAACACCATAGACTGAAAACACTATGTATTTGCAAGAGGACACTGTACCAATGAGATAATTCTGACAGTTCATAAACTGATAATTAAACTGTGGAGTGCTGGTGGAACAAAGGGTTTCATTTTTATAATAATTTAAAGGCCTGAAGCTCGGGGGGGTTCCAGGAGAGGGGGTGTCGAATAAACCACACTTTTTGCGAGATAAAATAATGTCTAGGTACACAGAGGTTTCATGGTAAAAAGGTCATTTTTTCAGAAAAAAAACTCCCTTTTCAAACTACTGGCTATGGCCTGATATATATTGCCTATATGAATTTTTTTTCACAACTGAGGAGTTGAAATGTATTTTCGTTTTTATATTTGATGGTAACCTTTATTGTTAGAAGTTTATATTGGAGAGTACTTAATGTGAGTTTGTATCTGGACATGCATACATTTACACATTTATTTGGTTAAATAATAAATATCAGTTGGGTGATCAAATGTCTATATTGCTATAGACAGGTATATTCAAATCAATAGGAAATATTTTCAGTGTCTCTTTAATTATATATTTAGCCTTGCTGAAACTGAAGCAACTAATGGAATTTATAATTATAATCTACTATAATTAATGTTGCATAGTTTTCATACTGTTGTTTATTATTGAGATGCCTGTGTATTTATTCATGTCTGCTACACGTAAGAGAACATAACCTGATTAATAATACCCCCTTTACACTGGACGGCGTCCTTTCTGCGACCATGATATTTGGCATCAATGTGGTCTAAATAAGGAGGCACAAGCATTGATTCTGTATCAGAATGAATGTTCAGTGATCGGCCAGTTGTCGGAATGTAAAGTATTATAATTTTTTAACTCTCAAATGGGACTTGAAAGAACGCCGTCCAGTGTAAAGGGGCCCTAAGTAATAATAATTAAGTGAAACAAAACTGGTGTGCATCAGTACACAAAGCTTATGTCCATTAAATTTGGAATGCTCCATATGCAGTGTATGGTAATCAAATGCAGATAACAAATAATAAGTTTATCCATTTGGGGATAGTTATTGCCATTGATTTGTTTTTAAAAATTATGATGAGTGTTATTTCATTTAAAAAAAATGAATGCATATAAATTCATATACATATATTTTATTAACTCAACACAAGTACTATAATTATTTCATATTTAGAAGTGGAAATAACTATATTTACTACCAATAATCATTATTTTATATTTTTAGAAATTCAATCACATTACTTATGAACTTATAAAAGTTATGGACACTGTCAGACCAAATGAATAAGTACCAGTTTTTAACACTTCAATTATATTAAACTAAAAAGCAAAATAAATATGGTTTATAACAAATTATAAGGAATATTTATTCTCGGTCAAGAGAATTTATCTGACCCTCATTATTACCAGTCCCAAAGGCTTACTATCAGTCTGAGACTGAAGGACTGACAGTTTTTCAATGCCAAGAACATCTTATTCTTAATCTGGGCAGTAAGTGTCACTTTTAATGGAGGTGGAATTTATGTAATAAATGTTGCTTTGAAAAGTATACCAACTTTTTCTCTTGATTCAAAAGATAAAAATTTTGCTTGAAACTAAGTTGACGTGAAGATGCTATTTTTCTGATATTTCTAGTTGGAATTATAACTGCTGAAATACAGTGCAATTTATAATCTTTTTAAATCCCTGTCCAGAGCCACAGACTGCCACCTAAATTCAGTATCAAGATCAAAATTTTCTTTTAAAAACATCGAGGAAAAATTAAGAATACTCAAATCACTCTCAGTATCTTATAGCAATAAGAAATACAAACAGCTTTCAAGCCAAACAGCTGTATATATACAGTAACAAGAAATATGCCCTGCTCCTGTTCCAGCAAGGCCAAACAGAAGTAGGTGAATGGAATATGCAGAGATACTACTGCATTTATACATAAATATACAAGCGTGAAAAGATATAGCTTAATATGCACTTTGATATAATATACAACAGTCTGACCAATATCAAATTAACCAGCAGCCAAAATGCATCATCATTGGAACTGGGCTCAATTTTTAAATTTTTAAAAAGTGAACATTATATCTACAAAGTTTATTTAACCCATAATAATATTAGCCAGACAGGAACTTTATCTTAATGTAAACTAACTTAACTGTATTTATTTTATGTCAACATCATAATTCTAAAAGAAATAAAGCCAGTCTTGGGAAAGTTTTACTAAATAAATAAATTAATTTATTTGAAGTCTTAAATGACAGGTTGAGAAAGACTAGTAACATGTCAGAACAAGGATTTACCATTACTGATAAAAAAAAAAAAAAAAAAAAAAAAATTGACAGAAGACACACTTGACAAACTTTGAAAAAAAAAAGACAATTTGGACACTGGCCTGTTATTTTGTGGTTGAGTCAAGGTTGGTTTTTACCGTTCTACCAGTACTGGTAGATTAATATCACACACTTTTTGACTTTAAAAAAAAGGATCAAAACTAAGCAACAATAACACAAGTACATATCTGTGTGATTTTACTTCTAAAACCATCAACCAGAACTCACCTTTGCCTTCCTTCTTATAGTTTTCAGTAGAGGCAGTATGGCCTGTGGTCTTTGCTGAGACATGGGTCCATGGGAATACTTCTTCAGGGGAGGACAATGAAAATTCCACAGTTTCATGGTGCCCATGTGTGTCAGGAAAAATGGCTGCTGGAGTTCACATGCTGGAGTGGAATGCTAAAAAGACAAGTGATTTTTAAGGATGACCTCCAGTTATTTTTCTTCTGTTATATCTGAAAAAGATGAATTTAGGATAATTGCATATCCATAGTGCAAGTGCAAATTATTTTTAAAAAGGGGGGGGCCTGTGTGAAAGACTGAAAGAGAATTGTGAAATGTTATCTTTTTCTTGTGCTTTAACTATGCGCAGGCCTACCATGTTCAGAGAAAATTATTGATAAATTATTTCAATAAAAATTGTCCTTGTTTAACAACAGGTGTTTGTCTTTCATAGCACTATAGAACAAAACCCAAAACAACAACAATAATATAATCACAGAAGCAGCATTTCTTTTTCCCCTTTAATGTAGCAAAAAAATCTCCAAAAGAAGTAACCATAGTATAGGCAGCAAATCAACACTGCTAACCTACTTAGTACTGTAACAAATTGCAGTCAAATTAATGATAAGAACACCATGACCTAAGGTATCCTACTTGGCCTGTGATAAATAACCAATCTCCACAAAACTGTGCCATTACTGATAACAACAAGATGGCATTTCTGTGTCAAGTAGTTTAGTGACGATACGGAATTGAACAATTTCCAAGGAAGGAAAGGCAGTGATTAGAAATTGACTTTGCTACTGATTCAAAGTCCGATTTTGCATACTTTGGTGGCTAAATCTTTCACTTACATAAAAAAAGTTATTCTTTTGGACCTTGAATAACCGTCACATGACAACCTTAAATCAGGTGACAAAGGCGTAGTTCTCATTCGCTCCCAGCAAGGAATTTCTTTCTAAGGTGAGTTTAAGACAGCCATTTGTTTAAAATTTTATCACCAGATATTAACTAGTGTGCACTCAAATCATTTCTATACAGTATAATCACATTTATATACTGATCCAACTTAGTTCATCCTATACTTGTTAGTTTCACATCTGAATTCATCCTATATTTCCTTGTTTTACTTCTGAATACTTCTTTATGTATCAATTATATTCTTAAAACCAAAAACAACATTTTTAGTGAACTAAATTTAAGACAATGACTCGTGTTTCATCATTTCAAATCAACTTAATTATTCCTTTACCAATGACAAATCATGCCAAATTTGCTTTAAAGAAATAAAAAAAGATTTCAGGACCAATATGCTGTGTCTCTCCCGAAGAACTAGTACATGTATATGGCTTTTTCTAAGAACAGGAAAAAATGTTCGAAGGGCTCCCTCTTTTAATTAAATATCAAAACCAAATTTCCCACTATCTTGTGGTGGTTTATGAAAGCCAGCAACACCTTTACCTTATTTCACACTGAGATATTTATTCTTTTCAGACCTAAAACAAAATGGCGACTGCTGCCACTTCACGTAATGAGATAGAAAACACAATGCGTATGGGACTACTGATACATAGGTCACAAAATGTGCTTCAAGATGTCCTCAGTTCACAGTTACAAACAACTTATCCAGGGTTGTTTGATCCGTCAAATGGAGGAAAGTTGTTTGATATTCTAACTGACCAAAAGGCAAATCAAACTTTGCTACAGTTGAAAAAAATGAAAGTTTTGAATGCAAGCCAAATGAAGCTTCTATACCCTTCCGGTAACCCCTCCACAACTGTGACACTGAAGAACTTAGATGTGACTCTTACAGTAGTCTTGTTAAGAAATATCACAACACTAAACCCAAAGGGCAGTTGGGAAAATCCACCAATAACTGACATGTCCATGGAGGCCCAGATTGGCAGAGTGAAGAGATATCGCAACAAATTTTCCCACGGGGGCGCCAGTCTCACAGATGCTGCATTTCAGACCCAGTTTACAGAATTGAAAGCTTTGTTGCTATCATTGTCCACAATCTACACCAGTGATGACTATGACAAGTTGCTTACTGATCCATTGCATGCAGCAGGTATGATGTATTTAACAGTGTACTGTGAAGAATAGTGAGAGAAACTGCTCTTTTTGGCTAAGAGGGACTGTGCTCTATTATACCGATTGTCCACCAGCATATAAATAAAGACAACTTTTAGTTTAAAGTCACAAGTGTACTTGAAGAAATGTGCAATCGAGAGGATCTGTTCTTTGTAGTACTCTTGGGATTGTGCTCTGCTGATTGTTCCCCAAGGTATAAGCTTAAAGAAGGATATATATCGAGTTTAGAAATAACTACAAAATTCATTTCCCCCGACATCCATTTTAAAACATCAAATCTACCCTTCAAAACTCTACCCCAGTAGTTAAATTATGTAAAATTATAATTCTAATATAATCATTTTTATGCATGAAAGTTAAGATTTTTCTTGCATGTTTACTTTTCAATTTCAGAAGCACCTTGTGAGCTCATCTCTACTAACCTTCCAAGTAGAACTCCAGAGCTGAAGGGACGAGTGGACCTGGTGCAGAAAATACTGCAGCATGTTGAAAATGACACAAAACTCATTCTCCTGACTGGGATGGGGGGCATAGGTAAAACAAGCATAGCTGTTGAAGTTGGACATCAAAGAAAAGGTGTCAGAAAAGAGGTCATGTATATTGATATGAGAAAAGTTGTAAATCTTGATTCTGTTAAATTATCACTTGTGCACCATTTTCACCCAAATCAGTTTTTGAAAGATATTTACAGTGATTATCAGAACAAATTTACACAAACTATGTCTAATTTAGCAACAGACACTCTCCTTATCCTTGATAATAATGACAGCATTTTGAATTCACACCAGCAAGAGTTTCTGCAGTTACTGGAGGATGTCATGAATTCATCAAAATATGTCACTCTTTTATGCACCAGTCGTGAATCATTCAGTCTTCTGTCACAAACCACAGTTACTATAGACATCCCTCCTCTTGATAAAACATCTTCACTTGAAGTCCTTTGGGGGGGAAATACAATCAGCCCCACAGATAGTGAGACAGAAGCTTTAGGTGAAATATCAGAGAGATGTGGCCACAATCCCCTTGCACTAAAATTAGCAGCTACCCAGATCAAGCTCAAAACAGTACAGAAAGTGTTAGAGAAAATGAAACGCATAAAGGTCCTCCGCTCTCTTCAGTTACCTAACATTCCAGCCTCCCAAGGTATGCTTTCATGCCTAGAGATGTCTTACGAAACACTGACTGACACAGAGAAAAAGGTGTTTAGGGGACTGCATATATTTCCTGTTGCATTCAATTCAAAAGAAGTCTCAGAGATTTTGGAGATGGAGGAAGATGAATGTGAATCTGTCCTTGACAGTCTTAGCAATAAGTCACTTTTGAGTTTGGTCCAAAATACCTATGATCTGCATCCTTTGGTGAAGGAGTATGCAGAGTTTCTTGCACAAAATGACAGCACCGAAACCTCTCACACACAAAAGAGATATTGTGGTTATTACATAAGGTGTCTTAACCATCTATGCATTGTGCATAAGATTGGAGCTTCACTTTTTGAAAATATGTCAAAACTGGTGCCCCATTTACACATGACTGCCACCTTGCTTAAAATGGAACTCTGTACTCCCGACATACAACAGAAAGAAAACACACTTAATTTCCTACAAATGATTGCAAATGCATTCCATTTTCTTTTTCTGAATCAAGAAGCTCTCTCGATTTTACAGTCAATTGAGGTAGAAATGAACACATATTTTGAAAGTCAACCAATCAAAACAGCAAAAGTGCATAACCATATTGGTCTCGTACTACAAGCCATAGGTAAGTACAAAGAGGCACTTGATTATCATATAAAATTTCTGAAGGTAAGGGAAGAGCTCCTAGGTTCCAAACACCTTTATACTGCCACCTCATACAACAATATTGGTTGTACACTGGGAGACATGGGTAAGTACAAAGAGGCACTTGACTATCAAAAAAAATGCCTGGAGATAAGGGAAGAGATCCTAGGTCCCAAACACCCTGACACTGCTTCATCGTACGACAATATTGGCTGTGCACTGGGAAACATGGGTAAGTATAAAGAGGCACTTGACTATCATAAAAAAAGCCTGGAGGTAAGGGAAGAGTTCTTAGGTCTCAAACACCCTGACACAGCTAAATCATACAGCAATACTGGCAATGTACTGAGATTCATAGGTGAGTACAAAGAGGCACTTCACTATTTTCATAAGTGCCTACAGGTAAATGAAGAGTTCCTAGGTCTCAAACACCCTGATACTGCTATGTCATACAGCAATATTGGTAATGTACTACAAGCCATGGGTAATAACAAAGAGGCACTTGACTATCAAAAAAAATGTCTGAATGTAAGGGAAGAGCTCCTAGGTCCCAAACACCCTGATACTGCTACCTCATACAACAATATAGGTTGTGTACTGGGAAACATGGGTAAGTACAAAGAGGCACTTGACTATCATAAAAAATGCCTGGAGGTAAGGGAACAGCTCCTAAGTCCCAAACACCCCAGTACTGCTACCTCATACAACAATATTGGTGGTGTACTGGGAAACATGGGTAAGTACAAAGAGGCACTTGACTATCATAAAAAATGCTTGGAGGTAGAAGAAGAGGTCCTAGGTCACAAACACCCTGACACAGCTGAATCATACAGCCATATTGGCAATGTACTGAGAAACATGGGTAAGTACAAAGAGGCACTTGACTATCATAAGAAATGCCTGGAGGTAAGGGAAGAGGTCCTAGGTCACAAACACCTTCACATGGCTAAATCATACAGAAATATTGGTAATGTACTTCAAGCCATGGGTAATAACAAAGAGGCACTTGACTATTATGAAAAATGCCTGGAGGTAAGGGAAGAGGTCCTAGGTCTCAAACACCCTGATACTGCTACCTCATACAGGAATATTGGTAATGTACTACAAGCCATGGGTAAGTACAAAGAGGCACTTGGCTATCATAAGAAATGCCTGGAGGTAAGGGAAGAGGTCCTAGGTCTCAAACACCCTGATACTGCTGACACATACAACAATATTGGTTATGTACTACAAGCCATGGGTAAGAACAAAGAGGCACTTGACTATTATAAAAAATGTCTTGATGTAAGTGAAGAGTCCCTAGGTCTCAAACATCCTGACACTGCTACCTCATACAACAATATTGGCGGAGTACTACAAGCCATGGGTGAGTACAAAGAGGCGCTTGGCTATCATAAGAAATGCCTGGAGGTAAGGGAAGAGGTCCTAGGTCTCATACATCCTGATACTGCTGACCCATACAACAATATTGGTAATGTACTAAAAGCCATGGGTAAGAACAAAGAGGCGCTTGGCTATCATAAGAAATGCCTGGAAGTAAGGGAAGAGGTCCTAGGTCTCAAACATCCTGACACTGCTACCTCATACAACAATATTGGTGGAGTACTACAAGGCATGGGTGAGTACAAAGAGGCGCTTGACTATCATAAAAAATGTCTGGAGGTAAGGGAAGAGGTCCTAGGTCCCAAACACCCTGACACAGCTACCTCATACAACAATATTGGTATGGTACTACAAGCCATTGGTAAGTAAAAAGAGGTGCTTGACTATCTAAAAAAAGGCCTGGAAGTTAGGAAAGAGATACTAGGTCTTAAACAACCCGATACTGCTACCTCATACAACAATATTGGTTTGGTACTGAAAGACATGGGTATGTTCAAAGAGGCATTAGATTATTTCAAAAATTGCAAAGAAGTGATGGAAGATGTGCTAGGCCCTAAACACCCTAATACTGCTGCATTATATGGCAATATTGGTTATTTACTTGAAGCCATGGGTGACTACAAAAGAGCACTTCCATATTTAAAAAGATGCCACAAACTGAAAAAGGAGCTGCTAGGTCCCAAACACCCTAATGTTGCTGCAATGTGCAATTTTATTTTTACTTTACTTGAAAAAATGGGTCAGTCCAAAGAGGCAGTAGAATATGTTAAAAAACATCAATGAAATGAGTAAGGAAAGAGAGTCTAGCATCTAAACATTCTTAAAGGGCTACCTGATACAACAATACCAGGGAAGTACTGGAATAAATGTGTGAATAAAAAAAAGCTTGCATATAAAAATAAATGGAATAAAATTAGAGAATAGGTGTTAGACTGCAAACACTCTTTTATACTGACTCATAATAACAATGTTGGTTGTGCACTGCAAGCTTTGAATGCTTAAAAAATGGACACATGTTATGTAATGTAACTTTTCAAAACACAAACTGTAATTTTAAGTTTTACTAAAACCATGGGGAAGTTTATTTTTCTACAAAGGGGTTGAACTCTCAAGAAAGATGCATGTTGAATATATTGAAAATTCTGGCATTTTCTCTCTTTTACACACAGTACAGTAAAAATATGTAACTGCACATCACATCCTTTTTCACCCCAGTTGTGCCCATGAAATAAAGCACAGCTAGGTGCTGAGGTTACTTATGCCATAATTTCAGTGTGCACTGAAAGGCTCTCCACTTGTTCTACCTCTTGGCATGCAGTCTCTCTCTATTAATCCATAATATATTTATCTTCTACAAGAATATTTTCATAGACATAACTTCTCCCAGAAAAAAGATATATAGTCCTTAATTCTTCAAAAAGTATCTCTGTAGTCCTTAATTCTCCATGTTTCTATACAGTCTTAACCTCTTTTGAAATTTATCTGTAGTCTTCGCTTCTCTAAGAATTTTTTTATAGTCCTAACTTCTACAAAATTCCTGTAGTCCTCAATTCTCTAAGAATATCTTCTAGTATACTGTGGTCCCTTTTCCAAGAACAACTATAGATACTTATATAACTACAAACTTATATTTCATTTCTGCATCCACTCCATCATTAAGAGTGTATATCTAGGTGTCACTGCAGGGGGATGTGAATTTGCAGAACAACATCTATAATAACAGTTATGCCAAAATCTCTATTTAATTCTGCAACCGGTTCCGTCATTAAAGTGTACACTACATGTATATGCCCCTACATGGGGATGTTAAATTGCAGAATAAAACCAACAACAGGATATTGTTCCCAGCCCACACTGGAGTTCTACTGGTGAGAACCAGAGTGGGAAAAACAAACACCATAGACTGAAAACACTATGTATTAACAAGAGGTCATTGTATCAGTGAGATAATTCTGACAGTTCATAAACTGATAATTAAACTGTGAAGTGCTGGTGTAACAAAGGGTTTCATGTTTAAATCACTGTACAGGTCCGTAGCCAGGGGATTTCAGGGGGTCAGAACAAACAGCTATTTTTGCTAGGAAAAGGTCCCCTCTGGGTAATATTTTACCTAGGCGCGCAATGGTTTCATGGTAAAAGGGCCACTTTTTTTAGAAAAAAAAACCCTCCCTTATCAAGCGACTGGCTACAGACCTGATTTATATTACCTATATGAATTTTTTTTCACAACTGAAGAGTTGAAATGTCTTTGTTTTTATTTGTATATTTGGTGGTATTGTTAGTGCCATATGTTGGAGAGTGTCTATAATGTGAGTTTGTATCTGCACATGCATACATTTACACATTTATTTTGTTAAATAATAAATATCAGTTGGGTGATCAAATGTCTATATTACTGGTATATTCAAATCAATAGGAAATATTTCAAGATTTTGGTCAATATTATAAATGTAAAATCAATAAAGTATACAATAAATAAATACACAAATTAATTAATAAATTAATTAAAACCTGAATATGTCTAAATTCATTCATTCTTTTTACAATATATATTCCTTGTTTAATACAAACATCTTCCTCCTCATTTCTTTGATAAGTCCTGCCTTTCCAAGTAGAATCTTGGACATCCTGAAAATTATGATTATTTTCTATAAAAGGCTCATAAACACATCACGTTGCTTTTGCATTACATAACAACATTCACCTACACAGAAATACAATTTTGCAAACTTTAATGTTAAAAAAAAGCCCTCGTGTCTAAATTTTCTGACCAAAAACATGGTCTACCTCAGTTATGGATAAACCAACAGTAGTAGTCCTCTAGAATACAGCTATGTTCTGAAACATAATCCAAGACTTTCTTGTTATAACACAGTATACAAACACCAACTGGCCATGGCTAGCTGCTACATATTAATTAAGGAGATGAATCTCTTTCTGACAAAAGCAATATAAAACTACCTTTTCCTTTTTACTGGATGTAGTGGACTTCATCCTTCCAGGATGTCTGTCTTCTGGGATTTCAAGGATGATATTCTCATCATTGGGGTCCAGGGTTAGCACCGAAGGTTGAGGAATGTGGTCCATGGCCTGGAAACATCAGAAAGGAAGAAAATAAGAACAAGACAGTACATGCTGTCAAATGGACAGACATAAGTGTGTCACAACTGTTTGAATAACAGCAAAAGTAGACAGAGGTCAATAGCCATACAATGAAAGAATGAATTAAAGCAAAATATCTTTAATTAAATTTTGTGCAAAAACTAGGAATCAAGGACCTTGACCTGTATTGCTGTAGCCTTGCGAAGGACTGCAGCAACATTTTATCAAAGCATTAAGAGTGTGTTAAGAAGATTCTTAGAATAAAAGAAAGCTGTTAAGGAGTAATTAATTATCATTAAACATAAGATTTATTTGTTTACTATAGACTTACTCCAATTTCTTATTTCTTTAATTTTTTCATTTATTCTACTTATAATTTACTTTTTTAATTGACTTTCTATTCAGAAGGTACACACCTAATCCAGGACATCATCCTGTAATTCACCATATTTATTTATGTTCCCAAATAAGAACCCAGTCAAGGCAGCTGCCCCAGCATTGCCAGACTGATCAGCACTCATTCTCAGCGTGGTCTCCATGGTAATGGTTGTCATGGTCTCCATGGTAATGGTCATCATGGTCTTCATGGTAATGATCATCATGGTTGTCATGGTCACTGTCCATACCAGTCTCTACATACAGTGTTCTCTACATTTCAATCTGCCACTGATCTCTTTCCGTTAGAGGGGAGAGGCTTGTCACTCTTCACATTGGGTTTCCATTACCTTTCACGCCCGTAGCCAGGGAGGGGGGGGGGGGGTTGAGGGTTTGAAAGAACCGCCCCTTTTGGTGGGAAAAGGTCCACTCTGGGTAAAATTTGACCTAGGCTCATGAAGATTTTATGGAAAAGGTCTGCTATTTCAGAAAAAGAACCCCCCTTTTGAAATTGCTGGCTACGGGCCTGCCCTTACTCAGAGCATGAACGGGAAATGGCATCAACGACCATTAAGTTTTTAAAATCCTATTTAATATCAACAAAACATAAAGAAACTCTGTTTACTTTTTATATTCCTGTTATTTTACACTTATATTTAAAAAGGGTCTGAACATACATGCAAAAAATTCGAAATTACATTCCTTTTTTTCAAAATCATTTTCATGTATTTTTCTATAAGCCCATATAATTAAGGGAAAAAACATTTAACCTAAAATTTTGTAGGTAAAAAAGAAAAACAAGTATGTTTACACATATTAAAAAAAAATGTAAACCGTGACGAAGGACATGATCTTTCATTTTGCACCGAAAAGCACTATGTCCTCTAAAACTACTCCCTGCGCCATGTATAAACAACTGGCCGGTGGTGTCTGTGGCCGGTGGTTGCCGTTTCAGGCTTTCAGCCATTTTCTGATCTGTCCTGCTGTTTCTCAGCCTTTAATAAACATCACATTGTAGCACTTGCTGGTACATCGTCCCTGTCATCGTACACTACGCTACAAGGCCAAAAAGCCGGTGTTTGAATATTCGCTTGGCCTGTCCACTATCCACAACCACATCAGATCTCGTGTGTGTTATACTACAGTGTGACTTCTGCTAGTCTTCTCTAGCACATCCAAAAAATAATTTAGCATGGAGAAAAAAAATCGAAGTGATGCGATAGTTGAGATAATTCTTCTCTAACGCATTTCTCTATCCAAAGAGTGTTTTCCTCCATACTCATATGAGTCAATGCTGTGAACCTTACCTTAACGGACAAACAGGATTTTCTGCATCCCAACGAGATGCTTTAATTAAAATAATAATACATCGCCCAGGGAGAAGTCAAAAGCCAAGTTAGAATGTATATTTTAAAACTGTATATTGTAAAATGTATTCATTTAAGGAAACGTACAGTAATACCTAAATAATACAGCCAGGAAAGAAGACAGACAAGAATATTTTTAAAACTCCTGTGTAAAATGTATTTATTAAAAGGAATATTTAAAACCATACACATTTTTCAATGAAATCTTAAGCATTTGTATACAGACATATAAATGTTGTAATGCAAGTCTTAAAAATGTAATCATATTCAACAGATAAACAGAATCTTCCATGTAGATATTTATGTATATATATCATCAACATGTATCCCAGTATCTGATGTAAAATATATCCTTCTCCGTTTCTGGTGACAGAGGACTTGCATGCACAGATTGCAAACTACAGAAATTCAGTTTTTTCTGAATGGTGGATTTTTTTTCTAAATATTGGTATTATCCTACTGGGTATTTACAACATTGTGTCAATGCTTTTATTAAATGTATTAGTAGATTAGTAGTAGTAATAGTAAGATGCAAAAGCTTTTGGCCTTTGACTGATTTTTTCACAAATGTTTACATAACTTTAGGTCATATTTTACCTTAATTCTCATATCCACTAATAATCTGTTCAGAAAAAAAAGCAGATCATTCTTTTTTATTGGTATTTTTGTTTTTTTCCTTAAAATTTCCCAAAACATAAACTCCTTAACAAGAATGTAAACTCCCTTCATATATTGAGCATATATATATATGTGTGCTAATCTCAGCTTGTGATTATTTTGCATGGGACAATTGATTTGAAAATGTTTTTCTCTTCGTCATGTGGATACATCTACTTAATTGTAGTTCTTCATGGGTATAAAAATAAAACCAGTTTCCCTTCCCAAGGGTATTCTCCCATCCTCTGCTAGACGGTTATCACCTCAAGGGAGGGAAGGCTGCAAACAAAAGAAACCATGTGTTTTCTTTAAATAGAGTTTAACCCATATGAAAAGACTTGAGAATTGTAAACGAAGTTAAACTGTAACCATATAACTTAAATTCTTGAACATTTTTTATTTTCATACTATTATATTCATTTTGTACAGACAAGGTGTCATATAGTGTATGACAACAATTCAGTGACAAACTTTTTAACAAAGGCACTACCTCCACATGGTGATAAGAATGGTACTCCACTTCCAGGTGTAGTGAGTTCCCCATTACTTTGCACAGGTGACACTTGACATACTAACCCACAATACCCCCAGTTAACCCTAACCTGTACTTTCCACATAGGGCCTGGATATTCTAATCTAGGACTACCATTCCTGTCGCACTGGTATGGGATACAATGCCTTTCCTTTGTCAAACCTTGCCAACAATATATTTAGGTCAATACACATGTAGATTAGTTCATCAGACATGTCAGTCTCTTAGAGACCATTCCCAGAGATATCGTACTAACTTTGGATCGAACTATCTCCAAGTGGATTCTGGCTTAATTGCAATTAACTTAAGCGGCTTAGACGTCTATCATGCCTAATTAAGCTGATAGAGGGTAGTTACCTTTGTTCAGCAGCTTTTGCAGGCGTGCCAGACATCTTAGCCACTTAAGGTGAAAGCAATTTAGCGAGAAAACCAGTGGAGATGTACCGATCCTGTTAGATCTGTAGGGATGGGAACCAGTCTTATTTTACATGTATTAAGAGCAGTTTGTGATGACTAGCACAGAGTATCATTATTTACCAGGGAGTATGGGACAGTGTGCCCTACAAAGTGAGCATACAGGTGAGCCATAACATCATGTTGAGAATAAGTTTACAAAATTAGTGTATAAATATTAACCAAGCACCATGATCTGTAAGTCAATATAATATCCCTTTTCTACAAATTCAACATATCTAAATAGATAACCTTGCATTATTTTCCACATTGAACAATTTTTGACCAATACTGCCCACAGCAAACCTTGTCTTATACAGTTGCACTTTTGTAAATAAAATATTTTTGACTTTTTTCCAAAAGAATCGTGAATTATACATGAAGTAAGGCTACAGCAAGTCTTTTTGAAAAGGGATTATTCCAAAATCTTCCTGATTCTTTTATAAAATTTCCATTTCAGCCTTATGTTCACTCAGCAAGGCTCACCTGATCAAAATTTTGTATAATACATCAATTGTTAGCTTCTTTCTTGTCCACTATTTTTGTTAAGTTATCCATTTTCAATGTCTTATATCTGGTGACATTTTCAAGTCATATTATACAAATCAGTTACAAAACGATCAATTTGACAACAAAACGTTGCCCATTTAATCTTTCAGCTTTAGAAAGTAATTTGTTCAACCTTATTAATGCTAATTGGTAGACAAAGGCATTGGATGATGTAGAAAAGAACAATATTAATGCCCCACTTCTGTGAAGGAAATAAAAGCAACATAATAATAATAATAATAATCAAAATATTCACATTTATTACATTGCAAGCATAATAAATAGGGGATGAAAAAAGCCCACTATGAAAAGGGTTTGAAATGAAATAAAATAACCAGAGGTTAGACAAAGTTCCTAAAAAACTCCCCAGAAGATGATACCCTTAGCAAAGGTTGTAATGGGAAATGATGTAAATTCTTTCAGTAGTTATCAATACCTGAGCCATATTATAAAATAATCTTATATGTTCTCTCTCTCTAATCTGAGCAAAAAAAATTCTTTAAAAATATCACATTTTATTAATTCTTATGCACACACACCCAGTTCATGAAAAATATCCATAGTAATGTTTCTTCAAACAATAATATAATATTGAGCTAAAATGCGTTACTTATTTTCATGTCACTGGGAAGAATAATTACCTTGTAATTTCATTATGAAAAAGCATGCCTTATCAAAGTGTAAATTAGTAGTAAGTTATATCAAAATACACCACCTTAAAGTAATGATGGAGCTTATAAATCACACACTTCCCATCATTTATGCAGATAAAGAAATTTAGCAATTATGCTAACTACATAATCAACTTAAGAGAAGTGATCTTTTAGTAAAAGTCATAGAATACAGAAAATAAAACTCTAAGTTAAATTAACACAGAGTCATATACAATTAAAAGACAAATTTATACTAATGAAAACAAAAACAGGCATTCTGATCTCAGTAAGCAAGAAAAGCAATTGATATCCCAGATTAGAAGTACATGACAGACTGCACAATAGAAGAAAGACTCGGCAATACTCGCAGAAACATGGCTTCTGCTCTGAATATCTTTCATTCTAGCATCCAGTGACTGGACACATCTTACACGATACCTAGTCGTTCCTCAAAATCTTCATGAAAATGGTAAAAAGATAAATTCCAATTTACACTGTTTGTCCCAGGTGCTGAAGCAAGTGGTATCCCACAATCCTAAGCTGCGACAGGAAGTTGTGAAAAGTATAAGAATCTTTACATTCCACTGTCATCACTGAAATGTATATAGTTTAAAAGCACCAAGTGCTAGACCCCAGGTCTTCTTGCTACAACTGTGCAAATAGAAGCAAGAAATGATGACACCAAAGCAGCATTCCACCTTTCCCCTGCATTTAACAGAAACTTATCAATCTCCACTAAGGCATGCTTTTGGAATGAGTAGCGGAGGAATACCATTGAAGCATTGATAAAATAGGTCACCATCTCAGCGTCTGCTAGATCAGGTGGGTATCATGAGGCGACATTACCGAAGGTCCCATTGGGCGGCCTGTACAGTTTAGGCAGCGCCATGAGCTGGATACTATTGAAGGCATATTTGCTGATTCCAGTGTTCTTAAATGTATTGTGCCTCCTCACCCCCTCACTGAAACAAACAGGATGAGTTAAGTGATGAGAAAAGTGATGGGCAAACACGTCAAATGCAACTAGAAAGACATTAATCAATTTATCTATTTATTAAAATTTATTCACTGAGGGTAAAAAAATGATAAATTAAAACTTTATCTTCCCCTTGGCCCTCATCATAAACTAATACAACTTTCAAAACTAACACTGTGACACTATATTGAGCCCCAATGCAGAAATAAGAATTCTTTTTAAGTTCCTCAGATATAAAATTTGGTGATGAAATATGATATGTATTCTAAGCTGGAAGCTGTTTACAAATGTGATTTCAAATGATGCAGATATGGTGAAAATAACTATGGTAATTCTTTTATCTTTTTGGTGGGGAAAAAATAATTGTTCTAATGTAGTCGCAGATTGTCCCTATCTAATCAAGGCCTGTTTTTACCTCCTGAAGCACTCTAGGGCATGCGAGAACACGTGTGGCGCCAGATTGTGCTCCCGCTGGAGAATCTGAACCTGTTCCAGCGTTACAGACATGGCGGTTCTGTCCTTGGCACTCTTACAGCTTGTAAAACGGATACCATTCATGTTGCGACAAATCTGAAATATATTAATTTTGTCAAAATTGCAAGACTGAAAAAGCAAGTGACAAAACATGGAGAGGCACAGGGAAAAGGAGGGAAAAAAAGAGAAATACTGTTATTCTGCTACTCTTAAATTTTTCACTGCAATTACCTTGTTGCTGACAATTTAAAGTTATCCCAGCAGCTGTTTTCACTTTTTCCATATGAAAAGGAAAATGTGGTACAGAATAACACAAGATGAAGAAAACTTCAATCCCCACAAAATGGCACAGCCAGTGAATCAGGGCAACACCACGACTTCTTATGACATAAAACAAGCTTCAAAGATAATCCTTTCTTTATCAGACAACATGGTATAACAATGAGAGAACTGAACAACATTAAAATTTACAGCTTTACCTCCGCAGATATGTGTAATATTTCCACATTCTTGCTCTTCTTTGAGTTTATGTTGTACTTCAACAGTTTCATTTGTTCTTCAACTGAGTTTGGGCCTGGGTCTGCAAGGAGTGAAGAGCAGACGTTTTGAAATAAGTTCCCCAAAAAAGTTTCCTAATTTAGCTGTGCATTGAACAAATATATGCAACGTAGTGCTGCAAGATTATAAAAAATATATGCAATGTAGTACTGCAAGATTATAAAAATATATGCAATGTAGTACTGCAAGATTATAAAACAAGTAAGGATGCAATTTGAAAATGAAAACATTTTAAATCAATCCACGAACAAAAATAGTTCATTTTTCTGATGACATACTTGACTCTTTGAAATGGTCAAAATATTGTGAAACATATGAGCTGAGAGCCTCAAAGTTTTCTTGATTTATTTGTTCCTGTAGCTTGGTGTCCCCAAATCTGAAAATAAACAAATAAATAAATAAAATAAATTAATAAATAAACTTGAATCAGAGTCACTTTATCAGGACTATGTAAAGGCCAAGAAATGACTGGCCAAGAACCTTGTTTAACAGACCTATGCTCTTTGGTAATGAAAATACAATGAAATCACTGACACATTTCTCTGCTGCGATCCATAATTAGAAAAACCAAAACTTATCAACTTTTTCAACGATATATTTTGTTCATAATTCAAAATCACTAGGAAGCAAGAATCATAAGAGTTCATATTAAGACATATCTAAGACACAAAAGTGTGGTTTTGTCTGTTAGAACACTGTAAAAAGTTTTTTTCAGCACACTGACTTGTCTGCCAGAGTAGCATGCTCATTGATCCCCATAGTGAAAATAACCGGAACTACGCGGATGGCATATCCCCTCTGTATCTCCCTGGGAAGGAGGTGGAACATGGTATCAGGGCAAGGCACTTGTACTACATAGCTGCCTCTGAAATCAAATGTAAAAACTGGTTGATTTATGACCCCTCTGTATCTAACTCTAAAGAAAACGGAACATATACTTGTAGCTAACATTATATTAATAAGCAGAAAAATAGGTCAATTTACAAAATAGTTAAGAAGGAATAAAATATTACAGTGGAAACAGGAAATGTGAAAAACACAATTTGATAATTTGTATAAAATTAATGAATAACATGTAACCATTTTGATCAATAAGAATTTTTTCAAAACTCTTACAACATCATGAGTTCATTTTTATGAATAATAGTTGACTAAAACAAATATTACTAAATGACATACTATAATTGCATATATATTTATAATAAATGAAATTCAAAAGTTTACAACACGTGTTTAAAAAACTTGCTTTCCTTTTTTTAGATGCATATTATCTCTAAGTCACCTTTTGCCAGATAAAGTTGGTAAAATCTCATCTGCATTGCTTGCTTGAATGATTTTAAAAGTCACGTTTTTCATGTCATTAATGGCGACTATGTGGTCCTCCAACATCCCCATCTCGTCGCCATGACAGGAGAGGAGGCTCTCAAAGTTGATCAGAAGTCCGATCTTATACAGCTGCTGGAGGAAGGTCTCGTTGGTAATACTGCTGCGTAGTTTAGTCAGGAATCCTGTAGTCACAGATGTCAGCTGGAAATAAAGCATACAATGGCATGATCACGTCTGGTGGCAAGTCGGTGGTGTGACAGAAGCATTGAACTTGTGACAATGAGATCATGAATCTGAAAACCTCAATGTCAGTTGTGAATAGGACAATTAAATGACAGTTCACTTCTTAACTTAGTAAACAAATAAAAGAACTCTCCATTGCTTCATAATACAATCTGGAAATAAGAACCAACACTGGCCTGAGTAAAACCACAAGGCACATGATTATTCGCAAAGTTTTAGTTAGTGATGGTGTATGTATTAACTTACTGCCTGTGAGAAGGTGACATCTCTCCTGTATTTCACTGTGTGCCACAATGGGATGTTATAACTCTGTTCCTACAAGAAAAACATACACACTGAGAATGCCATTACCTTTCTTGCATAGTTCAACGAACTTATATAGTACTCATCAAAATTATACCAATATATCCACAAATAAAGCTATTTTGATATCATCGTTCCATCCCCAAATATAATATTCCACACATAAAGCTATTTTGATATTATCATTCTATCCCCAAATACAATATTCATCTGGCAAATACTCATAAAACATTACTGTAACTACATAACTTTTACAAAACATTTGAGAAAATCATTTTTCTGGGAAATGTAAGTCGTCAATTTTGTTTGAATTAAGTTACATTCCATGGCGACACATTTCTGCCTTTCTGCACATTTTAGTTGGGATGACAACATCAGTCATTTACAGGGGTGGATAGAAGTCGTCTTTTGGGGTTTTTTTACGGTCAGAATTTTAAAAGTTTACATGGACAGGCATTTAATTTTTTCTGTAGGAAGACAATCAAAAATGGAGGATGTCAGAAAAAATATCTGGATTTGACCCAGATTTACCTGCAGAGCGAGGAAGGTGAGACCATGACTGGCCCTCCGACACACCAGTTCAACACAGCCTCGTAGGCGCACCAAGAGAGGGTTGACCTCCTCTAACCAGGTACTGCTACCTCCAGCCCGCGTCTCCCCCTGACGAAGGATCTCATCTACCTTGGAGGTGAGACACATCAAGGCCGCCTCAAGGTTAACTTGGTTCATGTCCTATGGAAAGTTAAATAGCTGGTTTTGAAAAGCTTAGTAGGTTAATACTTCGAAACTGTAGCTTTTAATTTTCTTCTGCATTGTATGTGTAATGTTTGTGATTGTAATAAAAATAATTTGACTAAATAAAGTAAATGTAAGTAAGGAGGATAAAATCTGAATTCTGACTAAAAATCATGAACTGTTCCTAAAAACATGCAAGTTTTCATAGACTGCAGCAATGAACGGCACTCTAATACTTATCCTTCTTCTGAAGAAACTTAAAATGTTCTTAGACTGAGGTAAACTTGGTCTTTCTGATGTGCCTTTTTTTTTTTTTTTTTGCAGACAAAGTTAACTTATCAATCTATTTCTTGTTCAGGTACGTTCCACTGTCTTACAAAAATGAGAAATATATATAAATCAAATTCTGGAACTTAACATCTTATGCTGAAAGCACCTAACCAATGTTATACATATGAGACAGGGTGCTAGAGACTATTCCTACCAGCATGTCAATTAATCAGGTGACCAGTCCATTCAGGTCATTATACCCAGTGAAAGGACCCTGCCTGAGACTGCAGTGTTGCTAAATGTAAGTTCCAGAATTTGATTTGTACATATTTTTCATTCTAATCCTACTGGATGACTAAAAACATTCACTTGTTTTACGTACTACTTACCCAAGGCTCTGTGGAGTCAGTGGCAGCAGTGTGTAACGGACTCCATTTCCACTCACCACCAGGTGGCACTGGGGTAGTTGGGGTATATTCTGAGGAACTAGTGCTCAACAATGAGTCTCTGCCTTCTGCTACGGATGAAACAGAGGGCTTTTTATCAGGAATCTTTTCTGAGCGAACTCTACCTACTTTGGGGGAGTTTTTCTGACTTAGTTTCGATTGTAATTCATTGAGAACCTTGTCTTGAGAATCGGATTTCAATTTTCCATGAATATCGTTTGATTCTGTAGAGTTTGTTTGAGCTGAAGACCCATCAGTCAAATCTTGTTTTGCCTTGTCGTAACTTGTAATTCCTTCCTCCATCATCTTTATTTCCAGTAGTTGGAGCAGCTGTCGAGTCTGAAAATGAAATAGAAAATAATTTGGTTAACATCTCCACATTGTAAATCCGCTAGAAATAAGACAAAAGGCACAAATTACCAAGCCACTCTTTCAAATGTCATTTATATCACTTATCATATAATACACATTAAAATATATTGGGTAACGAAAATATTAAAGGAGTAATATGGAGACCCAAGAAGTGACGAGGGGGTTTCATTTTGTCATTTTCAGAACAAATCATGAAACATAAGCCAGGTGTACCAACCTTATCAGTCACTAGAGAAGACGCCTTGATCAGTTCCTCTGCGCTCCCCTGTAATGCTGCACGACTGACACTCTCGGCGTCATATTGCACTGCCTTCCGTAAAGATATCAATTTATCTAATAATTTATTGAGATCTGTGAGTCTACTGTCCTTGTGTCCAGAGCTGTGTAAAAGTTCTTGTTGTTGTTGCATCATTCTTTTGACTCCACCTTGTTTGTATTTTTGGGCATATGCTGTGAAACTTCCTACAGTCACAATATCATAACAGCCACCTGGAATCAAAAATGATGTGTTATGAAAATATGGCCTAGCATTTGTGGTACTTTGACTCTCCTGAATTTGGTTTTTGTGTGGATATTCTATGAAAATGCCAACTGTCAAAATATGTTATCTAAAATAAAATTTAATATAAGGAAGTGACAATTTCTAATATTTGGAAAATAGTATTCCCTGAAAATAATGGTGATTATTAACTAAAAGCACCCTTTTTGCTTAATAGGCAGACAAGGTACAGTTACCCTCTTTCTTTGGCAAATTTATTGAGCCTTCACACCTAACCTACTTAATAATTCACCAAGCTCACCCTTATAAACCCCATGTCAAAATCCACAGTGAAAAGCATTCAATTAGAACATGTTTATGTTTCAAAGCGGTGAGACAGAAATTATCAGTATTGGATTTCCTTATACCTACTTGTTTTTTTCTTTTCATTTGTGACCCACATCCTCTGTAGATGTAAATTGACTGGAATGAACTCCACATCTCTGTCGCCTTTCCTGGCACTGGCCTTGAAGGTCACACCTACAAAACATGGCGGCCATCTTAACGCACTCTTATGATGTCTGACGGTTATGGTAACAAGGGTAATTAACTTTTATGAATTGCATCATCATAAACTCATCAAAATTTTGGAAAAAGTCAGAAAAGCTATTCATATACATCTAACATACTTTAACAATAGGTTAACATTTCCTTAAAAAACTATGTAAGTAGTTTTATGTAATAGTATGACACAAAGAGAAATTTATCAAGTTTCTGTCATAGATATACTACTATCAGACAGTGACTACAGAGAGTTTAGTTCAAAATAACAATTATGTTACTGTCATAATCACCAGTGAAACATTATAAAGTTAAGCAAGCATCATTTTAGTATTCATAAGAGACAGTACGTATGGCATGTCGCAAACCTTGAAACTCCTGAGACAGATATTTGCAACTTTCTGTGTACTTAGCGACCATTTTGTGGAAGGCATCCAGCAACTCTCGCCGCATTTGGTGCCATATATCTACAAGCTTAAGAGCAGAAAGACACGGCTATAGGATGCTTGTAACAGAGCAGGTATTCCTATCGCTAAGCTACATGATGCTGAAACCAGGGGGCAGCACCTATCATAAGCATTTCATGATACCAGGGAGAGCTACAATAGGTGGGACACACAAGATAAGCTTGACACACAAATTAGTTATATGATAAGAATGAAATCAAATCTAAAAACAAAACAGAAAGTACAAGTGCATGTTGTTAGAGGGTTTATACAGTCTCTTCAAATTCTAAAATGAAGATAAAAAAGAAAACAAAATAAGGCAATTAATAAATAACAAATAACAGCAAAATAAAAGTTGTCAGAGAGAGAGAGAGGGTAGGGGATGGGGGCTTAACAAAACTTGCAAACAAAGTCAACCAAAATCACTAAAAGAGGTTGCATGAACTTCTACACCTGACAACTACAATGATGCTTTCATGTCTTTATGATTTCTACCTGGAATCAAGGTACTAAAATATCCAGGCATTGATTGACTGACATAAACTCATCCATAGGGCCATAGGACACACTGTTATACTATATTCTGTGTATAGTATCATGTCATACTATACAAACAACAACTGTTTTGCAGGGAAAGGAACAAACCTATTAATAATATCAAAGTTTGTTTCGATAAAGTGTAAATCCCTCTCTTCTAACTTTAACTGATAGGAATTTACCTCCACAAAGTTGGGCCAACTTTTTTTCACAGAGAAACAAGTTTGAGTTGAAAATATTTGCTTCAAATCCAAATGGTATTGAAGGTTGTATTTCCAGCTGAGTTGTGACCACTTATCTAAGTACACACTAGCCCAGCAAGCTCTGTACTGATAAATAATTTAACCACTGGAGACCAAAGGAATAATGTACTGCTCACCTCTATTAAAATGCTTGAAGGTAAGACAACAGAGTGATAATAATTAAAAACATGGTAAAAATCATTTTCGCAATGTCTGCTGGGACGGTGAATACTTGAGTTAAGCTGTCACAACATAACTAGAAATGTAACCAAAGAAATTAGCTAGCTGTAGTCCCACTGGGCAGTAATGTAACAAATAAGATACAGCTTGGTTTAGGAAAATGGTACACAGCAGTTTACATAAGGGATGGACAGACATGACCAGCTTACATAGAGAACAACAGCACCCAAAAGGCACTCAATCATGAACAAACTGGCTATTCAGTCAATTTCTACCAGCTCCAAAGATCTATTTTTCACTACATATTCACAGAATCCCACATGGCTCTGGTTAATTATGTGCACTTTTCCATACCGTGTAGAGAATGATGTCATGAATTAGCCTGAGATAGAGCTGTGAATATTTAGTGAAAAATCAATCTGTGGCTCTGGTAGAGGATAGTAATCAGACACATTGCATACAATTTTTCAGGAAGGAACACATCCTCAGCGTGAGTGCATATTTTCTTGTTTGAGACTGGCTGAATATTGTCGTTGGTTTTTTATGTACAAGGATTTTTGAAATGACAAGACTTGCCTCAAACATCACTGAATGATTCTGCAGTTTAAACTTGCATCCAAACTGCGTTTTAACAGGATTTCTGTAAAACAATCTGCACATTTCAACCACCACCAATATGGCCGACCAGTTCGTTCATGACTGTTGTACGTCTACACTACCACCAAGAGAATATATCAAAACCACTACATGTTAAGTTATCTACAGCCACCACACTGCCCAGATTCCAAGCACCTTCCATCTCCTCATACTCTCTAAGGCACTGTGTATACACATCTAGTATGTCCACATGGAAGATCTGCAGGTCCATCTTCAACTGCTCCCATCTCCCCTTTAGCTAAGAAAACAACAGAAGACCACAGGAATAACTAAGGCATATTCACATTGACAGAAACCAAATAGTCCTGATAGAGAAGTGTTCTATTTGGCACCATTTTGAAACTGTAGCCAGGTTGCCATTCATCTTTACAGTCCATGTTAGGTATTATTATTACTTTTTTTTGTTACATGTCTGAACTATCAATTTCTTTGTTTTCAGAAGACTTCTGTTGTAAATGCAATAGGAAACAATAAATCTTGCTAATTTGTGAGCTATATTGTTAGCATCCCAACAATCAATAGCATTTGTCTCTATAGGAAGATTAAGCTTTCACCATCAAACTAATACTATGTAAGACTCTATTCCCATACCTAGATCAATATAGCAGAATTGAAGCATCTCTGAGGGGTTTCTTGCTAAATTGCTTTCAGCTTAAGCAGCTTTGATGTCTGGCAAGCCTACGAAGCTGTTATGGGTAATTAATCATCGTTTAGCAGCTTCAGTAGGCGTGCCAGACATCTAAGCAGCTTTAGCCAAGAGCAATTAAGCAAGAATACCCTCAGAGATGGGTTGATCCTGCTAGATTGATCTAAGTATAGGAATGGGGTCTAATTCTGCTCTGACGAGAGCTTTGATACACCAACTCACAAAGTTAAACCTATTTCTTCTCTATACCCAACTTGGCATGGGAAAAAAATTACATCTACCCTGGGATGTGCCCTATTTCTGTCAACATGAGTATGCCTACCACAACATGCAAGAGGAATAACAAAAGCTTTTGAAATAGTTTTAAAACTAAAGTGCTACAGGGATGAATTGTGCTCTTGGTATGGGCATAAAAATGTATGTATGTATAGTTGTAAACACAATTATATATCATTCAAACTCCAGAAGTTAATGTAAAATCATGACCAATTTCTTTGTTGTTTTTTTTTTTCAAATGGTGTCCTTTCTACAGCATCAGGTTAAGAAAATGAAGTATTTTTATATGATTGAAAAAACTATAAGACTTTATATATACCCTGTACGATAAGGTCTTCTTGCACAGTGGGCTGAAAGTTATAAAAGTACAGGCATGTTTCCTAGCCAAATGTTTTAGTAATCAGAATATATATAAACAGCTTCTATGGACTCTGGCTGCCGAAGAAAAAAATAACTTAACCTGGAGAATAAGCATAATTTATACTGAAAAGAAGCAAAAAGAAAATTGAAATACTAATACTCATATCAAAGAATATTACAGAAAATAAAACAGCAAATGTCTTAAAATTTACGGACAATTTTTTATAAGCATTGTATGAAATAACGTGTTGTCATCTCTCATCTTTATGTGGTTTAAGACCATACGTAAATAGACTAACAGACTTGAGAAGTGATACCTCACAGAGTTTGAGCAATACCAAGATGCTGGGGTAGGGGCTTTTGTCCTGCAAAAGATATGGTGTGATTTGGGCAGTTTTACTATAAACTGATGTGCCTCAGCTCAGCTTTTCTCCTTTGTGTGATGGGGTGGGGTGGGGTGGGGGGGGGTGGGGGTGGGGGGGACGGAATCAGCCATGATTGCATTCTGGAAATATCTGTCCAGATATCTCAGGCCCGTAGCCAGGAGGGGTTCGGGGGGTTCGAAAGAACCACCCCTTTTGTCAGGAAAAGGTCCATTTTGGGTAAAATTTCATTTAAGTACACGTAAGTTTCATTGTAAAAGGTCCATTTTTTCAGAAAAAGAACCCCCCTTTTGAATTTGCTGGCTACGGGCCTGTATCTGTTGTCAATTCTTACACACCTCTCCCAAGTCCTGCAGCTGCTCTATCCTTGCCCTCTCTTCTGTTATCCACTCTTTGCTGAAAGGAAAAATTACAGTTGCAAAATCTAAAACTATGACTTTAAAGATAATGTATAAATGTATCCATTAACCCACAGCTCCTTTTGAAAGATTTTTAATTTTTTTCCTTAACACATCTCATCTATTGACAGATATTTCATTTAATGTGATGCTATCAATAATATCTCATCGACTTAAGCTGATGGTAATTTGTTAATGTGCAAAAAGAAAAAAAGAAAATGAGCTCTTGGTTGGAAATGAACGTTTTTAATTTGACAGTCGACACAATAAATCCAATCCTCTTGAAAGAATGGTGAACACTGAAGGTGACTTCAAGAAAGTTTGGAAAATAATTTACTTAAAATGATACTCACAGCAGTAACTGTGGGAAGTAAAAACACAGTTTGCTCTCCCCCATGTACTCATGCACGCTAATCATAGACCCATCACTGGTGGGAAACCTGAAGGTTTTTGTCATGATATTGTTATAGAAAGGCTTGAGCATATCTCGACACTTGGTTTTACTGCTTTTTCTTCGAGGACGTACAGGCCCGTCTTGGTCACTACTGCTCTCCTGTAAAAAAAATCATCTTCAATATCATTACTGTTGATGAAAAATACAGTTATGACCTATTTCTCATGCTTTGTGTCATTTACCATTTAAGCTATTGTTTTTTCTCTGCACTGCCACTCATTTAGACAGCCCTCTATTTTCAACATTTAAAAATATCCCATCATCATCAATCTTATTATTCTATGATGTGCAGTTTATACCATATATCTTATCATACATATGCTGAAATAATCAGTTTTACAGATCAACCTCTTTGTCATTTCAAGAACAAGTCAAACATCATCTCATAATATTAGTCGCATAATAACTCTGATATATATTTCAAAATTTTGATATATTTTTAATATATTTTTAAAATGTCTTTAAAAAGACAATGTCTATGGTTTGTCATGCTAATTGTAGCATAAAGGTATATAATACAAATAAGACCATATAGCCAAACTGCAAAGAAGATGGCAGCTTTCATCCACTGACATAGTGATAGCATCAACTTCAACAACTGTAATACAGACAAGTCTAAAATATCTCACTGATAACTGATCAGAACAGTTTTTATATCAACCATTGATAGCTAGTGCAGCCACAATTGTATCAAGTGTATTAATTTATAACTAAAATATTGATAAGTTGCGTCAAAACAGGGGCATGTGATCTCTATACTTTAAAATTCATATTGTCTGTTTTAAAAGATAAAAAAATGGTTAAAAATCAAAGGTCAGGTAATGAGGCAATTTGCATATTTGATTGGTCTTGGAAAGCAGTCACAGAGCACATTCAGAACAGTGGACTAACAGATCTGAGGATCAAATATAACCAACCCACTTGAATGCTTGTTGCGTAATCCTCGTGGGGAATCTATTCAGTGTCTAATTGGGAGATAATGCAGTTTCCGTGCGAATCCAAGTCAGGTGAATTAATACTTGTACATGTACCTCCTCGAACTTACATCTGCACTTTACAAGCAATGATCTCATCATTCTTTTAAAATGAGATCTTTGATTTATCACCCATCATATTCCTAGTACTTAATTAATAATTCATATAAATTTGGGCTGTTTCAATGAAGAACAAACAACTCTTTGTTAATACACCCACCTCTTCTAAAGACCCCGTTGTCATCCGACTGTTTCTGGTGGCATACTCATCATTTTCCCATGACATCACAGTGACTGTGCCTCCCTCACTAAAGTCTGACGAACTGAAATACAGAGACATGGTTGAATATCTAACTTTAAGTTGATAATAGGAAATAACGAGAGTATGATTAATGCAATAATCTTTATTACATTTAACATGTAAAATTGGTTCTAGACACCAGTAGATAATTCTAGAATTCTCCTCAGATTATCTACAAAAGATTTTTCTGTAAAATTAAGAGTAAAACTGTTGCAATAATATGCTATAATTTTCATGTAAAAATTACTCTATGTTGACATAATTCTAAACTAAAATTCCTGCCAAGCTTTCTACAAAAACCATTTTCATAACTGTAAAATCAAGATGCATACTACTATTGTAAGGTACCACAATTAAAAAAAACTAGATAAACATAATTAACATGTAATAAAACACTTTGAAAAACTTGCAGGCAGCATTAAAAGCCTCTCAATCCCGACATGTAAAGTGATAACACTCACACAAAGAAGGCACTGTTTTTCCCACTGGGAAAATAGCCCTCCATTTCCAAACAGAAAGGTATCCCAAAAAACTGTTGCACAGATGCTGATTAAGTAAAAATGTCCTAAATTACGTAAGAATGCTAAAGCATGCTGATGAATGCCTGAAAATCTCCCCTGTGTATACAATTTAGTGTGAAATCATCTGAGGTAACTGTTCACTTTATCAGTTTCAGATAGTGCTTCATAACATATGATCAATTACTGTAAGTTTCTACATTGTCGGTAAGTGTTAAAAGGTTTTTAAAAAATTGAAAAAGTAGCCAAAAATGAACAACCCAGGAGAAATGAATTTGAGAGAAGGAAATCAAAGTTAAATACTCCCCAAAAGTTCATCCCAATGATAACATTCTACTTTATTTTAGATAAATTTAAACAAAGCTACATATTATATATTTTACAGCATCACACCAGATTGCGGCGGCCCCAAGATGCATATGCATTATCTGAGTCAGGAGGTCTAGGAGGGGGAATTCCACTCCATTAGAATAACTTGCTCCATTATAATACCAATGAAAGGAGTCTTTGAAACAATATGGAAGCCAGCACAGCCAAAATGATTTTTCTGTCAAACTAAGACTTATGATAGTGATGAATTTCAATACAAGGCTTACGTCAAATAATAAAAGCGCGGCCTTTTTCAGTCAAATCCCTGAATTATCTGTTATACCATGGTTTTATCATAATATCTATCAACATTCAGGTATTGTAATATAATACTATCAGGCATGACCTTCAACATTATGCCTTCAAATAGAAACTATTATCTGCACAGACCAAGATTTCCCTATTCAAAAACCACTTGTTGGTCCTTTTATGTGAAAACTGATTCATTTTGCAACATAAAACCCGGCTGAGCTTTTACATGGAGTTATAATCTAAAATTCCAGTTTACGTTTAAACCTCAAAATGCAATCATGCATAACAGGTAAGTGAAATGGTTTTTCATCTTTTAAATAAAAATTTCTGCACAGGTCAGTTTATGTTAATTGAACTAATCTAGTCTTATCATCTGCGGGGTCATCAGCTAAGTTTTTTTTTTAACAAAGAGAAAAATCAGTCTTTCAGCCATACCTGATAGGCTTTTATGTTTTATGATGACCACTTCTTAATGAAGTGAATCATTAACAAAGACTGAGTATGATTTAAACATATTCACCTTATTGTGTCTACCATAACATTTTAACTGAAGGAAGAATGTGTTTGGAGCCCATCTTTATCTTTTTTGTATATGACCTGCTTAATATTTAAGTATGATACTGGGAAATAAGTAAACAGACAGCTATCACCACGGGGACCATGGATGGCTTTGGCTGAATAACATGGAATTAACATCAAAGATTTTTGTTGTAGTTTGACAAAATACAACAGTATCATTCTGAATCAACAGCTTTGCACTAAACTATACTTTACTATAGTTTGCTACACAATACTCCACTCCACTCCAATCACATTAACACTACACCATATTACATCACACTAGTCATTACTGAATTCCTTTGTTTTTTTATCTCTTCTATTCAGATGAGGACAACTTTAGAATGGATTATTTACCTATACTGTGTTTTGAGATGGGGAAAATTACACAGAGGGCTGCAATGTACTATGACATTTGTATGTAATGTGGTCATTTGATGACATGTACCTGATTACTCCTATGATGTTAGGCCTGTTTACAGTCTGAAGTAGTCTGGGTGTAAACATAATATAAACAGTAAAAGTGGTCTTACTTGAGTCTCAGTGTGAGTCTGTTATCTGGGGCAGTGATTAAATCTGACAGTGTGAAAATAACTTGGCCAATCTGAGACATCTGAAATGAAACAAAATATATGGACCAGTGTGGTGGTAATGCATTTCTGAATTAATCATATGGCAAAAGGTATCTACTTTTACCATTAAATGTTCACACAGGATCTAAGACTGTAACTTCCTGAGTGGAAAACCACAACTGTTACAACAATCACTTTCTTTATTAAATAGTAATCAATGACTCATCACAGAAGATAACCAAAACTAATACTAAATGAAAAATAAAAATATGATTGCAAATTCATGTCCCTTAGCAAAAAATTACATCCACTGATCAAAAAACCAAGAAACATGTTTCTTTTATTCACATTGTTGAACTGTTGATTACAGTGAGTTACTCACCGTGCCGGTCAGTCGCTCTTTACAGTCAAAGATGACCAGCTTCACTCTGGTGGACTTTCTAAGGACACTTGACTCACTGAAGCTGACTGTCTTCAGAAATATGGGATTGCACTCTTTCTGTAAGATAAGCAGAGTTTTAACATGAAATCTTTAAAACTAACTTTTGTTTATCAAAATATGTAACATTAACTGTGCTCTTTTAACAATTCATTTCTGCTCCTTATTGTCTTACTTACTTAAAGTCATCATTATCATTATGGGTACATTTATGATAGCAAATGTGCACACAATCTTTTCTGCTACACCTGTAAATGTTGCCTCAGCTTATCATTAACTTTAAAGATAAAAGTTATTCTCCCCCACCTTGCTCCTTCATAATTTATAATATCAGTAAGAAAAGGATCATTCTTGTCCAAATTGCTCCACTTTCCAGAAATAGTTCAAGGCAGTAAAAATGATGAAAGTGTTTTTTTTCCCTTTACATAACAAGTCAACTATCTGAAATTGGGTCACAATATGACCACACTAGTGAGTGGGACAAAAAAGGGATTACAAAGGTTTCCCAAGGTGTAAAATCCCAACTACAAAGTCTGCTGAGAGAATACAGACTGCAAAAATAAATAAATAAATAAATAAATAAATAAATAAATAAATGCCTGGTTTACCTCCACGACCTCAGTATGGGCGTGTCCCAGCCATTGTTGATCTGGTGGGGCCATGATGTGAATACTGACAAATGGGTTGGGGGTCCTGCCATTGGGCTCCTTTGGCAGGCCAGAACAGGCTGAAAGTAGCAAAAGTGCACCTTAAGACTGGTTAGATCGATCTAACAGGATCGGTCCATCTCCACTGGTCCCTCCCTAAATTGCTCTCAATCTAAGCAGCTTAGATGTCTAGGACGCCCACTTAAGCCGTTAAACAATAGTTAATTACCTGCTATTAGCCTCAGAAGGCTACTTTGGTCACTTAAATGAAGATTTGCCAATTTGAAAAGTATAAAAACAAAACTTACTTATGCAGATTTCCACTGCTGGATCATCAGTGCCTGCATCACCCCCTGAAGACAAAAAGACACAAAAACGTCAATAAAACAACTTCTGAATAATTTACTTTAAGAAATTACCCATCTTTCATCAACGTCTTAGGGGTATTTCCTTTCCTACTTTTGGAACTTAAAATAAATTCCAAAAATGGTTTCTCTGGAAAAAGAATGCATACTAGTATATCTGTATAAATGTACTGTAAACAATACTACTATAATTATTCTAGTACCATCACAGCCATCATCAAAATCGTCTTCGCTGTCATCTTCCACCACTGACATCCAAGGTTTCAACTTCTTCCACGTGGCATGCTGAGGCTTCTTTTTCTTTGACTGCAGCTTACTCTGAGTCTCACCCATTTTGTGAGTAAGTCTGAATACTTAATTTTCTCCTCATTCAGTCTATTTTATATGTTCCTCTTCATGCCAGGCAAATTTAAGAAAAATTAGTAAATATCCTTCATTCAGAGTTTTTTTTTATGTTTCCAAGTTCCAGTGAATTAAAATGAATGTTCAGCTTTTTTCTTCTATATTTTCTGTTCCATGTTCCAACTTCCTCCTGTTCTATAGGTATGAGCCATGTATTAACTCAGGTTTTATGCCTTATTTAGTCCATTTCTTGTTATTTCTTCATATTAGACACTGTAAAGCTAGCTTACAACAAAGAAACCTGTCAAACCCATCTCTGTGAGAGTGCACAATGGCTTCTGTTCACTGTATTATCTCTATCTTCTAAATATAGTTTACAATCATAGTTCAGGTTCCAAGCCTTGCTATCCAACTTCAGAACAGCATATTATACATCCCCCGACACTGTGACAGTAGAATTTCTCCATCTTCTGGAGTCCCAGATGAAATCATAAATATGTGGTGGATGATTGTTTCCTGACAAAATGTCTTCCTGTCTTCTGCTTGGTCATAAGATGAGTCACTTCCTATCACTTTCTTTTCAGTTCACTGTCACTTTTTACTGCTGAAGTAAGCAGTCTTCACTTTTATCTGCACTTCTTATCTTCAATATATCTTCACTGACATTTTGAATCCCTCATTTTGTTAACCTACCATGCCATGCCTGTCAAGCTCNATGTCTTCCTGTCTTCTGCTTGGTCATAAGATGAGTCACTTCCTATCACTTTCTTTTCATTTCACAGTCACTTTTTACTGCTGAAGTAAGCAGTCTTCACTTTTATCTGCACTTCTTATCTTCAATATATCTTCACTGACATTTTGAATCCCTCATTTTTTTAACCTACCATGCCATGCCTGTCAAGCTCTCTTGAAGATCAGCACAATTGCTATAAATTACAGTATAATGACAACATGCTCTTCCCTAACCAATTACAGTCACTTTCCCCAGTATATTTAGTAGATACAGGTAAGCAATCTCCAAATAGAATGTCAATATTGTACATAACAAGACAACAACAAAATGCACATAGCTAGGCAAACACTCAAACTTTTCACACTATATCATACTATATATTATACACACAGATCAGCAGTTTTAACACTGCATGACAATACATTTCAATGAGGAATTTAATATAAATGACAACGGCCACTTCTCTCATAGAATATGACAATGCAGATGTTTGGCTATCATGAGATATGAAAATCTTCAATGGTCACCAAATCAGCTCATATCAGATTAATCATCACGTGAATCACACATAATTATATGATATAAGCAAGGTCAGGTTAAAACCTTGGACAGGAAGTGCAACAAAATCTGCTTACAACAAGGTAGGTTTGATTTTAAATAACACTATCCTATTCAACTCACAGTTTACTTTGTTTAAGACAAAAATTGGTTTCATAGACTGATTATGAGAATGATTTCTTCACTTTCTAAATTATGCCATTAACCATATATATATATATATATATGCTATTTATACAAATATTCAGGAGCATAGGACTTCCTTTTAAACAAACATTAATCATTTCTGTATAACACAACCATTGTTTTTTATTTCCATGTATATGCATTAATTTGCCAATGATGATGATGTCCCTATGTGTTTTTTTTTTCCTTTTTGTATTTCAATAGTAACTAACCATAAACAAAACCTTATTATTAGTTTACCATATGAATGAAGATATTTGGTCAAACTATCAGTCAATCAATAATACACAAAAGTAGCACAAATGCACCTCTTATAGATAAATGTTTGTCTCAAATTTTGTGTTTTGTCAAATCCATCATCATTAATTGGGCTCACTGAGGTCAAAGTCCAAATGGCAAATAGCTAGATAATATTAAGTCAAAATAAATTCTAATATAGATAACTACAAATCTGGCTTTAAAAAAATTAAATTACATTTTACAAAGCCAAATCAAAATATGTGATACACTTGAAAAAAAGCTTTCAATTTCATAGACAGTCCCCACACACAGCCTATTGGCTTGGGTGAGCCCTGTAATTTATGATGCAGATGCATCAAAGGTAGACTTCACTGTGTGCCAGGGGCATCTCTTCATCAATTAAGAAAAAAATTTAAAACCAAAAGAAGAGTACTGATTTGTCCTACCTGTTTCTGTGTTATCCTCTAGTACTGTGGGGTCGGGGTCATCAATGGGATCCTTCCCAGTTTTATTCCTGATCTGCTCACGGAGACTCTCCAACTGCATCTTGAGACACTCATAGCTGGCTATGTGGAGGACTTCAATCCATGTATCTCGCTCTTCTTCTGTACGGGCAGCAAAAAACTGGACTCTGTCATCACCCTCAAACACTGTGCAAGAAAAAAATAACAAGGCATCAAGTAAATATATTAGAGAGATGCAGAAACAAACAAAATGCTTAAAGAGCATCAAAAGAGAAAATTGTGACGTAAAAGTTGAATGGTTGGTGGTAGTGGGTAAGAGGTTTCAGAGGCACTGTTAGAAGCAGTGTTTGCCTCTTAGGAAAATAAGTTGCTGGACTGAAAGCTCAGCCATCTTGGAAATTAGCTGGCCAGAATGCCTGCCAGGTGGGAAAACTTCTCTGCCTGTTCTGAAAGTTGTCTGCCCCGGGCAGACGGTCCAGCCTTAATTTCTAACACTGGTTAGAAGAGGTCAGAAAGTCAATTCATTTTCAATAGCTTTGGCACTACCATTATGATCAATTTAGTCAAACTCAAAATCAAATTAGCTGCAATTTTCTAACTGCCTTGGAAGTATTAGCAGTGTATGAAATGGCCGCAAGCCCGCCAGCCCGATGCTGGTAACTTTCAGGCCGGGCGGGTAAGATTTTCAAATTACCCGCCCAACGGGCTGGCTATTTTTACAGCCTATATTCACCTTTTATTTTGTCTATGTTCACAAGCGATTTCAGCAAAATATCAAATCAACTCACTGTTTTCAACCACTTTCATAGAAGCAATTAAAGAACTAACCATAGCTTGCAATCGAACGCTCGTATCGAAATGTAACCAACAGTCTCCCTCTCAGTGGCCTCGTTTTCAAAGTTCCGCCTGTGCGATATGAAGTTGAAAGACAATTTGAAACGAGGCACATTGATCTTCACCAGCTTCAGTGCACAGCAGATAACGTTACGTCATTGTTTTGTGTAGAGATACCGCGAGTAGCAATTTGTAGGTTGAGAGTAATAAAAATGTGAAAGTATAAAAAGTTATGATATTGATTAAATAGACTTACAGGTAGGCCCTACATGAAGTGCTTATAATCAACAGTAATAAAGGCAACGGAGGCAAATTAAAGGAGAATTTTACAAAAAATTTGAATCCCAAAATTATGAGTGAACGTACGATTTTACGCCGTGCATCAGATGTAGTTCTTTTCCCACGTGCTGTCAAAAATGAAGAAAAATTCTATCAAGTCCGATAGAGAAGTTTACAAAAGAAAAACAATTGAGGGAAGAAATAAAAATAAGAAAGATTACGACAGAACCAAACGAAAGAGAACAAATTGGGACCCATGGAAAGGTGACTTCGATTTGCAATGAGTCGAGCGGCAACATTTTTTTGTAAAACCGTAACTCAAAAGTATCACGCATTGCGACCGAGCGCAAGCATCTCGATCCAATAACTTGCCCATACTCGCCCCATATAATATATAGCCTCTGTGTGATATAGCCTCTGTGTGATATAGCTATTCTCAATAAGCGATGCCTTCGAGATACGAGGCCCTGCAGGACTGTCTGTGGGCCATTAGCGTACAGGACCGTTCCCGACCGCTTTAAGCGATATTCAAAGGGACCCTACGTGCTGAATTATTTCTTCTTTATTGTCAGCACAGAGATCGATATATTTGACAAGAATATATATATGTGTTTGGTCATACTTGTTGCTATACAGAAAAGCAAAAATTATGATCAAATGATATCACGAAATCGGAATAAAAGTTATGAATAAATTATTGAAGAAGAAATGCGACAGCCTGCAAGGTGAACATAAACTGAACTGACTACCCCCCTCCCCCGCCCGCTAAAGGGCCCTGAAAATTTTTGGTATTTTAGATGGTGAATGGTGCCATTTGGTATGGTTTAGAACTATGATTCAACTAGTGAAAAGTCTTATTTCAAGAGGGAAGTTTTTTTTTTTTTTTTTGTTGCAGAAATTGAAAGGAGGGGGGGGGGCGTCAGGACCCCCCTGACCCCCCTCTAAATCCAACACTGACAAGGTATCATTCAGTAGAAATTCCAACCAATTTCTAAATTTCCACGCATAAGGCATGATATTGCCCTTTCATTTCCAAATTACTCTCCCAAGAATGCATTCTAGACCCCCTCAGCATACCTCCTTTAACTCTAGGGGTTATCATAACTAGGGCAGGTAACTACATGGCTGGGCTGGTAACTTTTCAGAGTTACCTGCCCGGCGGTCTGGCTAGTAATTTCCTTGAATTTCATACACTGGTATTAGTAAATGTAAATTAGATGGAAGGCTGATCAAAAGAAACTAATTAACCAACGTGTAAAGTGAGCACTTTTATACTGACTTACCAATTTGGAAAGAGAACTGCATTTCTTCCTTGAGATCTAGTTCAACTGTACATCTCTCAAGAATAATTGCACCATAAGGTTCTGATGTCTGCAGGAAGAAAAAAGCAAATTAAATAAAAAAATAATGCCTCTGATAAATATCTATAATGAATATCTATAATAAATATCTTTTTGAGAACAAAAGATTTCTATTAACATGTCTGCTATTCAGACTATACAATTACAGTTATTTCAAAGCCTCCATATGTCAATACTCACTGGCTCTTTAGATTTGAAGTAAAACAGGACATTTCCACGCAGTCGGCACCATCTCTGCACATACACTGCAAAAAACGAAGTATGTTATAAGATGGCATTTAATCTTGAGGGAAATTGTGCATAAAATTTGCACATGGAGTGAAACAAGCTGTGTCTCATTCAGAAATCATAATTTTATAAACTGATGGTCTTTAGTTATATATTCATACCTTGAGAGGTCAAGTTTTGAAAGCAAAACGTCTAAGAAACTACAGACATATTTTCTTTAAATTTCACAAACCGCAACAATTTTTGAAATTAAGCTGTGCTTTCAAGTTTAATACTGTGTACTGTATTTTGGTAATTTACTGTTACAGTACATAGTCCAACTCCTTTAAAAATACATAACCCTTCTGATAAAAAAATTTCCAACAGGCATTCAGATAGAAATCAGAGCTATATTTAATTTACAACTCTTCAATGCTAATTAGAGACAAAAATCCTACCTTCCCCTTTTCGGAATAATCCTTCCTGTTTTTCTTTCACCCATAGGACCCCCTCCTGGTCAAACTTGTCCTTGGGTTCCTTGGCCAGTGCTGCCATCTCCTTAGCATTGAACCTCATGGTGACACCCTATATAGAGGCTGCCACAAACCAAGCTAGGAAACACTTGATGCAAACAGTGCTCAACACAAGATAAGACCAAGCTATTGTAGTTTCATCTGGTCTACTAGGAGCTTGTTAGGTACCAGGGGATGGAAACGAAGTGGGTGCTGTCATCAGAAAATGGCCCACATGCATGAATGATAAGTATATTCTCACAAAGCTCTGATGTGGGTTGCAGTTATGCCAGGGCTTCTAGGTATGTGACACTGGACCCAACTGTGACTCAAGTATAGGCTAACAGCCCCATTACCAAAGAGACTGCAGCCCTACATGGTGGAACAGTATGACAGTCCTCGCCTTTGTACTTTTAACAGACTTGAGGTTACCTAAAATAAAAAAAGTTCCTTCAAAATATGAATGACGAAATGAATTATATGACAGTATTATACTGTATACTGGTCACTTTCAACTGCATGCTCTCAGTGTAAGACATAGCACAGTTAAGTTTCATACCTTAACATTCCTATTTGAGGTTCTACTACCTCCAACGAATATGTGCTAATGCATGAAAGATGCACACAAGGTACACATAAATATAAATTGACAGCCAGCAATATTTAGTCAGCTACAAGTCAGGACCTATCAAATCTTTAGCTTACCTCTCACGTCTCCAAGTCATTTCACTGTTTTAAAGCCAACAACTATTGCCATCAACAGTACTGTGGATAAGGAAAATCTGCTCAACGACCAGTTTATTAGTAATGCCTCTGTGAAACCACACACCCATTGAAGAATTCTCTATTACACTGGCAATATTACTCCATGCCATTAAATATTAATGCAAGTCTACCTGTCACACACTGAGGTAACTCTTACAAGGGCTTCAACACATCAGGACATGTTTTGGCATATTTTTAAACAATATATTAGGCTGTGTGCAAAGGGAAACTGTTTGATGCCACAAGCATTCCAAGCACAGCAAGTGCTCAGATTCCAAGTCAGTTGTGATTCATAAATCTTATGCATATAAATTGCATTGACTGTCTTTGTGGGCTAGATATTTAAGCCGACAATGTTAAATTTAGTGGGAAAAATAACTCTACTTGCAGCAAATAAAACCTGTCATATACTTTTATTCTTTTATTGGATACAAAGATATGCATCGTCGTTAACAGCATATTTGCGATGGGATGGGTAGGAAGGAAATCAGAATACGTATCTCAAGACGTAAAATAATCTACACTACATATAATTTTAAAGGATATTGCTGTTATATGTGCATTGCAATAAAAAGACAGGATACAGTTACAATTATCTCGGTAAATATTTAAATACTAGGGCTCACCGTTTTGCTGCAATCAGTATAAAACCACAACGCAAGCACCTAAGGAGGACTTCAATTTCTTTAGTCGGCCATATTGCCTCGTTTTCGAGGAACTATATGTGGACTTCCGCTTTTCTTGACACATGGTTGACCTGCAGAGGGTGCAACGTTCACTGCGATGCTGCTTTGTGCACAATGTATGCATTTTCAGGTAGTATAGTTGAGTGGGTACACTTTTATCGCTAAGCAATCTTTCATCCTTTTAGTTATTTTTTGTTTCTTCATTTATTGTGCACTTGCAGTCCTAATATATGTCTTTATTTTCGCACGTGGTTCGGTGCTAGTACTAAAGTGGTCTAGTGGATTCTTCTCCTTTCTGAATTTTTTGTCACTCACACGTGGAAACAAGTTCACAAGCTGTCAAATCGTATGTTCAATAATTAATGATATGCTATATTCTGTTTTATTACTTTTAGGTTAAGAAGAGGACAGTGTCCAGTATTATTTTTTTCACATGAAAGCTAGCATTGAATAAGAAAAGGTATATTATCATTATGAATTAGCGTCATTCTTTCCTCCATATATTGTTCCAAAACATTTATATTTGCTCCAAGTACTTTACCTTTGCATTAGTCCTTACAATTACATTCTACACAGATTACGTAGAGTAAAGTGAGGTCTTATAACACCCTGTGTACTGGAGAAGTGGTAGCACTTCTGCTTAGTTAGAATAAAAAGGCTAGGAATTACGTTCTCAAACTGGTGTGTGAACCCATTTTAAAAGAGTTAAATTGCAAATGTGGGGTCCCACAATGACCAACAATGGCATCGTGCCTCAACCGGTTGAATTGAGACGAGATTTAATTACTGTGCCCCTTCAGGGACGACGTGTGGAGAGGCGTGTGAGAGGTGGAGCTCGAGAGACAATTACAGGATTAAGCGGTCTTCCTTTCATGTAGGTCCGTCATATTTAGGCCGTGGACCAGCTAGCACTCCGCTCTTCTCATTCTGAATGGCCTCTTTGTTAGACTATCAAGCAGTGAGAAGTTGTTTTTTGAGGTAGCCCGTTTCAGCTTAGTTTTTCAACTGTTATAATGATCATGCAGTGCTTATCATATAACATATTTATAACCCAAAGTAGCAGCTCTTTTAGGCCAAGGAGGGCTATGCAGTTAGTTTATATTCAAGTATCAAACTTATTTTTAAATTTATTCTTTCAGATTGATTGAGACATAGGTCTGGCACATTTTATCACACGCTTGCATGTAACATGACAGCTACATCAGAAATTGAGGAAAACTGCCGTGAGTGAAGAAGTGAAATGTGGAAGATGTGGATGTAAAAAATCTTCCGGGCACACACACAAAGAGCATGAACTTCAAAGAAATCTGCACTCAAAGAGGCATCAGGATTCCGATACATGCTGTATACACAGAGGCACTTACGGACTTAAATGTGCAGGTCATGTGAAGAAGTTTAAGAGGGGACAGACCATGTGCACAGTTAAGAATACAGAACCATGCAAACTTAACTGTATTTTGACTGGACATCCTTTCTTTAGTTTGTACTGAAATAAAGCTAGTGTACGTGCCAGCACATGATCACTGATATGTTTTGAGGTAAAATTTATTCACCATAGGGGGCGACGCCGTACATGACGGGTCGACACAGTATAGTACTATGTACTACGTAAAGTCACTCTCACAATCTGCTCCTGGGTTCAAATTCACGTCGTTTAATAACCTTCTTTAATCTGTCATTGATGGCAATTAAGTCGATCCAGTTTTTCATGTGGTCTCTAGGATTCTCCCAAGCATATAACCTTTTTTTTTCCATTTAGTCCTACGTTCATGGTCACCACTGAGAATAATGTATATCAATATTGTTTCATTTGCTGGAAGGTAATTGTCAAGGGGAAAATGTCCAAAACTACCATGTCATAATCGGTTTCTGTATCTTTTGAATTTGTTATTGCTCTTGCTTGTAAAACATCTTCAATAATTTACTTTTCAAAATGCACCTTTATTCCACTTCCTTTGTCAGTACAAGGTAAAACTACATAAAATTACACTTTGTCTTCTAAATAATGTAGTTAAGCTCATATGTCACTTTGTATCAATTTTGAAGAGTTTAACAGGCATATATCGAACAAACTTCTTCTTGGGTTTCGGATTTGTTCATTCTTAGGGGTCGCCATAGCAACTAAGTAACATACCACCACCCACACTGGTCCTGCATATGGTCTTCCTCTACTCTTATCTTCTGTACAGTATATCCTCCTTGACAGCATTCATAAATCTTTTCTTCAGCCTCCCTCATTTTCTTGGTGGTTTTATTGCACGCATTTTTTTTGTCCCACATTAATTTTGTTATGGGTGCAAAATATATCACAAAAATATTAATATATATATATATGGTACTTGTACCAAAACTTTCTTTGTTTAGAAACAAAAAAATTGCTGCTTGGCAACCCTTCACAAATCATGATCTGTTAATGCTATTGTAATGTACATGTAGACCGTATAAACAATCCTGTGTTAAAACATACATATTTATAACATTTTTAGGTTTAAGAATATTAAATGAGTAATGATCTCTTTAAACTAGTAGTTTGCACTTGGATAATGAATACCATGAAAACAAACAAGTCCTAATCTCTTGATTTAGCTAAAAATGCTACTAGTTTACCTTGAATAAATGCAAAATGGTACAAAATATCCCATCCTACTCTTACTGTTATCAAAAATATAATATAAAAATAATATATAATTCAACATTTTTCTGTATTTTTTATAAACTTCATTTCAATCCCTGAACCTGTCTAGTTCTCCAGCCGTGAACTGATAATATGTGATAATGTTAATATGTGATAATGTCTTTTTACAAGCTGCTGAAATGCTGTCCTAGTGGGGTATCACATGGTCCAGATGCAGCTCTTTTGTGCTCTGTTCCCGCATCTTGAACTTCTGAACTTTGCCTGTCACTGTCAGAGGAAAACTGTCCACAAACATGATGTACTTTGGTATCTTAAAATGAGATATCTGGAAAAAATGATGGAAAAGTCTGATTTCGTATGTGTACTATACTAATATATCAATGATAAATATCAGTATATGCTGTGGATTTAGACATTTGTTGATAACACAAATGCTCCTTCTCAGCCTTTGGAGAAAAATTTACTTGATTTCATCACAGAATGTAGGAAAAAACTTGATTGTGCAATGAAGATTTGAACATGGCAAAAAAGTATCACTTCTCACAAACTTCGTGCACATTCCAAGGAGATTGCTATTATTGATTCATACATTTCAAAATTTGTAGGTTCCAAGAAAAATGTCTGTTAACCTCACAAAATTGCAATTGAAATAACTCCTTTTTACGACCAACCTACATATGTTACAAAAATCGTCATCTATTTCCCTCCTACCTTTCCTTTACAAAATTCTTTAATTTCTTCCTGAGTGGCAGTTTCCCCTTTGTGCAGCCTCACCCAGGCACATAACTCTTCCCCCAGTCTCTCGTCAGGTACTCCTATCACCTTTATTACACAGCCATTTCATTAATATGACTTAAATAATTTTGCTTAAGATGGTTTTGTCATTTATCATGGGGATTATTGTTTCTATTTCACTGAAAAAATTATTTCTGTGCTTTACATTAAAAGATTATGTTTCAATGTCAACAATGGTGGCATATGTATTGCTTTAAAACTTTGAGAATGATTTTGTAATAGTCAACAGTTTTGGGCAACTTCTTTTTTACTGGTGAAGTTAAAGGGGATGTGCAGACACATGACCAGATAATATTCAAAATGCACCAGTGTACCTTTAATGACTGCTGATAAAGTTTCTGGTACACTTTATTTTAGTAATGTTTCATGTCGTACATACTGCTGCTAACTGGCACGTACTTCAAGCACTCACCTGGACATCCTCAATCTTAGGGTAAGTATAGAGAAACTCTTCAACCTCCAGAGGGTAGATATTCTCGCCGCCTCGTATGACCATGTCCTTCAAACGCCCCGTGATATGACCATAGCCCTCCTCGTCTAGAAAGGCCAAATCCCTAAAATGATGACATTGATGCAAAAAATTAATTCACAAATTATACTCTCTTCATGGTGAATAAATTGACTTCATGATTAGAGTTACATTATTTTTGGTGTTTTTTATGCTTTAATGGAAGAGTTTGGACAATACATTGTAAGTAGATGGCACTGATCAAAGGTTCTGCTACAATGACAGAAATTGCAAGCAAAACAGGACAACATCCCTGGGTCAAATATGGCTACCCACCACAAAGCTTGCCATCTAATCTGCTAATAGTCACTGAATATATATCGCATTGGGAAGTATTCAAGTGGGTCGGCCACATTTGACCCTCGGACTAGTTAGTCCCCTATTCTGAATGGGGCCATAATCTAGAATGGATTACCCAGTGTGATACCATCCGTCTGGTTTGACCACCTCCCTTGTTCTGTCCTCATCACCCCAGTAGCCTAACATGGTGGCATACCCCCTTGTACAGAGCTCTCCCACTGTGTTCACAGGGACAATGTCACCCTCGCTGTTTACCACTTTGAGCTAAAACATACAGATGTATTCATTACTGGTTTTGTTGCTATGATGGAGTTTTAAAGTGGCTGGGATATGTACAGGAAAATGCCATGTTTTGCTGTTTTTAAACCAGGCCAGACCTAAAACTTGCAATTCTGAGACAGGTTTTTTTTTTCTGAAAAGGAAGACTTTGTTTAATTCACTATGTTTGTGGATCTACTTTGAGAAATGACCATGAGGTTGGATCAAATTTTCTCTCCGAGGGAATCTTTTTTTCGTCAAAAAGGCAGATTAAGTGTATTCATATCAAAACGTTTGAAATAATGCTTGCTGCTCACTCCACCCTGTTTTACTAATGATTAGTTTTATTAACTATTTAACTGCACAGTGCAGGTTCCATATTTGCCATTTTGATTTATTAAAGTAAATTTTGTCCAAAACTTTGTCTCTCACCTCCACATGAGCGGAAGCCTTTCCCACTGAGGACACTCTCTTTTCAAAAGGTGACTCCATGAAGCTTTGGAGTGTCACTGGGCTGTTCTCTGTAGTACCATAGCAAACCTTGAACAAAACAAGGCTAACTGTATGTAGCAGACTGATAAAATGTATTTTGAAAGAGAATGCCATCAAAACAGTACTGCTTACAGGGGCGGATCCAGAGTTATTTGCTGACAGTCTTCCAAATTATCTTTGTTGATTCATCCTCCATTTTTGACCGTCTTCCGACAGAAAAAAATAGATAACCGTCAATGTAAAATTAAAAATCTGACCGTCTTCTGGAAGACCCAGAAGACGCCCTAAATCCGCCCCTGGCTTAGTTATTGTTTATTGTTACATAATCACTTGGTACTCATACATAAGAGTGTTCCTCAAGGTTTTTTGTCAATAAAAATACTGTTGTACAGTGTGCCTAGCTGTTGCACATTTGTACTTGTTAGTAATCTACATGAAAGTGATTTGGTTCCAAAAATAAAGAAAAGCGTCACAAACTAACAAAAATGAAGAAAAAGCAAAGGAATAAAACCAATCTGCTAAATCCTGTGAAGCATCCTTATCCTTAATATTAGGAAGAACATCTAACAGAATTTAATCCTGTGAAGCATCCTTATCCTTAATATTAGGAAGAACATCTAACAGAATTTAAACTATCTATGAAAATAATTAAGGCAGGAAAAACAAAAAACTGAGGGAGAATTCACCCCAAAGCTGTACATAAACCAAGACCAGTGTCCTCTCGCGAAACTGTGTGCAGAAGGCCTGTGAAAACTTAATTACATGTATGTGCTACATATAGTAATGCGTTTTGCATTGCAAAATGGAGCACATTTTACCAGTTTCATTTTTTCCACCTCTGTAATGCTGCAGATCAAAACTCAAAACTTTGAGCATCACTGGGACATAACATATTTACTTTTTAAGTACACTTTATACCTAATCCCATTTAATACTGTACCTTAAAAGTTTTATTTAATGTAATGTTAATGTCAGTTTTATATATTGCAAAGAAGCACAAAAAACCCTTCAACAAAAAATGTCCAGGTGCTTGTTAACATCATGCAGGCAATATGATGTATATATTTAATTACTGTGACCTTTGACTTACTGTAATATAACTCATATACATGTTCTTTACAACCTGTTTTACGATTGCTACTGGGCATGGGGTCCCACCAATGATGCCTGTAATTATTGATGAACAACATTTACATCATACCAGGGGTAGCATACTTGTGTAAGATTAGGCCAATCACAAAGTATTGGTGCACAGAAAAATGCTCTTAATACTGCTCCCCACCCTACAAACTCTTGAATTTATGCCCCTCTTTATATTTCTCTCTTCAGAAAATATGGTTCTGTAACACCTCTAATGGTAACCAGGCACCAATACAGTGTAAATTAACCTTTATCTAAGGGACCATTCCCATATCCTATCATATTAACTGTGGATCGATCTATCTCTCAGGGAATTCTTGCTAAATTGCAATCAACTTGCTTAGATGTCTACTTAAGCTGCTAGGGGGTAATTAATCATATAGTTTAGCAGCTTCAGTAGGCGTGATAGACATTTTAGCCGCTTATGTTGAAAGCAATTTATCATAAAACCCCTCGAAGATGGATCGATCCTGTAAGATGGTTCTGGGAACCAAATGCTGTAAAACAATACCAGTGAGCACCAGGAAACTTACTGTCAAATGCTTCATATGCATGTTAATGACAACCTGTTTCATAATGACAGATGGACAAGGCGAGCCCGCCATAATACCTAAAATCAAGAGCAACTTCAGTCTTGTGAAAACTAAGATATGATATATGACATGTACAACTTGGAAATTGATTTTAAAAGAATCAAGAAAATCAAAGAATTTGAGTAATTAACTGTTACATTTGATCATTAGCTTTAATGTAAATCATTTAATCAGTATCTGGAATAATTAATTTTGAGAAGACTGAGAATTAGAAAACAGAATTTCTTCTCTCTTTGCACATGCACTTGGGGATGATCTGTCTAATTGACGGCCACAAATGACCATAAATGTTCACAAGCATTAAATGGTTGGGAAATCAGTTAATATATATAAACTGATTTCTCAACCATTTTATGTTTGTGGCCATTAAAAATGTGGTCATTTGTGGCCATTTGTGGTCATTAATTAGGCAGAACAGACCCTTTGGGGACCATTCAAAATGAATGTACTGGTAGTCAACCTTGCTTAGGGGCACAAAGTCCAAGGGGACTCTCAGTGGCATTGAGTAGAATAAAGAAAAGCTGATGATTATATGACTACAGGGCCATACAGAATGGATCTGAGTATCAACTGGTCCAAGGCTCAATTATGGCAGACCCTACATGGAAAAAAGACCGCTTAATCCTGTAATGGTCTCTCCCCCTCTCACACCACACCCCTTCCCACTTGTCTGGTCAAATGGAGTCCAGATTTAATTACTGTGCCCCTTCAGGGAGGACTTGTGTGTGTGTGGGGGGGGGGAGGCGGAGAGACCATTACAGAATTAAGCAGTCTTCCTTTTATGAAGGTCTGCCATATTTGAGACATGGACCAGTTAGCACTCGGATCTTCTCATTCTCAATGGGGCCTGTGTTGGAAATAAGAGGAGGCTTGTTTGTCCGTAAACCTGATTACTTTCAGCAGATGTCCCCATTGGCCATTAGCTAGGTCAACAAAATTCACTGTGCATGGTCCCTTATCCACTTACCTGTATACAAGCTTCCAAGGTGATAACTGGAGAAGTTCTGGTGGTTTAGCATATCTATGAACATGGTGGGGGTGCCATAAAGTGCAGTACATCTGCAGTAGAAGTTGTGCATCGTACGAACAGAAATTGCATTTGCATTTGACTCTGCATTTGTATGACGTCTTGTCTGAATTGTTTGTATGAAAAGTCATAAGCCAAATGGAAGGTAATGCTAGGAATCTCGGGGAAAGTTTTACAGAACAGACATGGGTGTTTTTTGTCATTACAGCTGCAGGCAATACATGTAGATCTGTGGACCATTCACAATCCCTCAGAATAAATAGTTTCTTATATCATATGACAACCCTGTCAAGATTTGAATACCACCAGATGTATATTACAAAAAAATCAAAATGTCCAAAGCCAGAACAAAAATACCCCCCCCCAACACACACACACACACACACACACACACACACACACACACATTAAAGATAAAATATAACCTGCTACGTACTTCTCTATAGTGATCTTTCAATTCACAGTGCAGATGATAGACCTTGTCATGTAACAACACAGTTACGTAAATTCTGATATTCTTACTTTTCATCGTGAACAGCCTTCAGAGCTGCCTCTGGCTCAAAACTTGGAGAAGGAAATATCAGGGTTGCACCATGGACAAGACTCATGAGGCTGCCAAGCACCATACCAAAGCAGTGGTATAAAGGAGGAGAAATACAGATCCTGGTGTCCTGCAAAATAGAATGTTTTCAAGTTTTTTTTTTATATTCAAAGAACCAAATGACTTAATTGTCTCTTCTGCAAATCTTTTGAATTTTTTTTAATAGATACAAGGTAGTAGCAATAGCTGAACAGTTTTATTACTTGTATGAATATTGGTTAAGGTGTAAAATTTGCTCTAAACATTAAAATAGATACAAGACTTTTGCTTTAGACAAAAACTGATAACTGAAATTATTTTGCAAAATTATGGACTTTCATAGATAAAAACTACTCTGTTAATTGTGCTCAGTGACTATGTATGTGAGAAGGTATTTTCAGTGATCTTGAATCTCTGAGTGAAATTTTGTAATAAAAAATACTGAAAAAAAGAAAAATTAGCATTTAAAAATTTTTAAAGAAATAGCCATACTTGGTAACACAGTCTATTACACAAGCTGCATGTATGCGTATATCTCACCCTGCGGTGGTAATCCATTCTGAGGCCCACAAAGTAGGCGTTGTTCACGATGTTGTGGTGAGTAAGGGTGGCACCCTTGGGTTGGCCTGTAGTCCCCTGGGGTCATGGAGCAAATGGTTAGAAAAAAAAAGAAAAAGGATATTTCTGATTAATGAGTATATCTTACTGTAATTCTAATCAAACAATAATACCATATATGCTGCATAGAATAGAAAATGTCTTTCTAGCCAGTGTCACTAAAATATTTTAAAACTAGCACCTAAGTTTAATCTAATTCTTTTGAATCCTAAGAGAAAATATTGCAACTTACATCATATATTACCCTTAAACCTAGATATGAAATAATAGTTAATAATATATATTAAAAGGCCAATAATGAACAGTGATAATTTTAAAAAAGATTAATACTGATTTGAAATAAAGTTTTAGTTTAACTCAAAGCTAACAAAACAAATTTTGATACACCTATAATGATAAAAACTAACTTTTCATGATATCTTAATGTCAAGTTTGTTGCAATGAGGCTGGGTTAATTTTGTTTATAACTTCAAAACAGTCATGCATTCCATCTTCTTTTTGTTACAGACTTTTGTATGGGGTATGAAAAAGGTCAGTTTGATATTGACAAAATCAGTCAAGCTTTGGATGAAAATGAGAAAGCAGTAGCGTGAAAACCACTCACAGATGTAAACTGGATGTTAATTGGCTGGTCAAACTGGAGTTTATTCTGCAGGCGTTGCAACTCTTTCTCTTCATCACTCCCACCCATTGACAGTACATCGTCAAATGCAAATGTACCCCTGCCGTGCGAATTGTGTAAAGTCATTTCAATCACTTTCATTTTCTGGACCCATTTAGTCACAGTAAATTACAATGATTGAGCTACAGAGTGACAACAAGCTACAAACAGGCTATGTTCTGACTTACTTAATTAATAAGTTAATCAGAAGATGTGAAGTACCAGTATGCTAGTACAGTTTGCATGCAGTATTTCGCTGGTGAATAACAATGGGAAGTTTTTCATGTTCTTGTTTGAAGCATAAAGTTACTTTGAAATTGCGTCATGGCTGTTTTGAGAAAGTGCATGAGAAAAGTTGCACTGTTTGTAACTCGAATGCTTTTGACTACAGATCACTCTGTACATATGTACATATACTAGTCTACAAATACACTGATGCATGAACAAAAAAAATATCCAACATGATATTGACTATGTACAATGTATCTCTAAGGTATGTCACAAAAGCAAGAATCAGCAGCATTAACAAAAGCAAAAACAAAAAAGAATATATATATATATATATATATATATATATATATATATATATATATATATATATATATATATATATATATGGATAACCATTTAAGCATATAGAACATAAAAGCAAGGGAAACATTTATCATAAGGTAAAGTAAACTAATCAATATGCATGGTTGTATGTGATATATATATACTTACGGGAATTTCTTTTTGCCAAGCATAATCACTATACTAAGCTCTGGCAAACTGCAAAAAAAAAACATAAAAATCATCGCCTTTGTAAAAATATTTATAGCCCTTACAATTATCAAAAGCCTTATTTTTTTTAGTCCATCAATAAAATGTTAAATAAGTTCCATTTTTAATATCAGACACATTTTTGTTTTCAGACATCTAGCTGCAGGTAAATTTAAATCAGCATCAACTGTGCAAGGATTTACAAATTGAGAAGATCTCTGAATATGATGCAAAACTTCGAAAACTTTAAAAAATTTATTAAATAAATGTAAATTATACAAGCAAGCAAAGATATTAAAGTCCATATTAACTGTGGATTCTTGAGCTGGCCAGGTTTACAGAAGGCAAGTTCATGGTTTATATGGAATAGCATCTGATAATAGTCCTGTGTCTTGAACTCTGAGGCAGCCACTATGGCCTTGCATCCAACCTGGAGAAATACAGCAAACTTTTAGGATACAGACAAACAATTAATTTCTGGCATTTCAGGATAGTGTTTTAATTGAGCTGTATTTTAGTCCTTAAAATAATTCCTGTTGGTTTGAGAATCATAAGTAATGGGATTGTCCTTTTGTGTTTATGTGAAAAAAATACAGGTTAGTGTACAGTGCCACCAACAGTGACACAAATGATAATGGCAACTGGGACAGTATCAGATATATTCAGACACACTGTGTACGTCCATAAAAATAAAACATGTAGGTCTCCAATTACAGCCTAATCATGTCTACTACTTTATTTTGTTCTTGATATTGGAATCCTATATATATATATATATATATATATATATATATATATATATATATATATATTATGACAGCCTCTGATCGACCTGCCCTGTAACAATACAACTGTGTTAGAGAAGAAAAACACAATGGCATTTTTCATGAAAAGAAAGCTTGCTTTGACAGTGGATCACGTGACTAGTGACAGCTGTGTTTGTGGAAGCCATTTTTTCCCCTTCAAATAATATGCTCAAGGACACTGCAGGTATTAGGTATAAACAAAATAGATAACTGTATCTGAATGCAAAATTATAAAAGATATTGTCATATTTGGAATGTAAATAAGGAAAACATACAGAGATAATAGCAAGCTAATTTTTTTTTATTGCAGAATATGTTATAGAATATAAAAGGAGGATAAGAATTTCTGAAGAGACGCTAGCCTATTCTTCATTTTCACATTCCTCAGCAGCAGACATGAAATTTCAATATCTGACACACGTACAAGGCCTATCTTCAGAAGTCAGTTTTTAATAAAGTTATAGAAGTCTCTTTCTCAATGGTGGATCCAGGGGGTAAATGCACACAGGGCATGTGACCACCCCCTTAGCTTCCCCCTACACTCCCCCCTCTAATGTTTTCCAAGTCATGAACTTATTATTTTATGTATTTTTTCCTTCCACAATTGTATCATTTCTTTCTTTGTTCATCAGACACCAATAAAAGGATAATGGATACACAGTGAAAAAAATAATGGCTTGCAAGGGGAGCAAGTAGGACATGAGAAAAGGTAAGAGTTTTTCAAATTGACTCAAGCCAGTCCAAATCTTTTGAATTCATTTTATCATTTAACTTTATGTAAAAAAATAATAAACATATCATTTGTTCTGTTGATAAATGACTTGTAAAATCAAAAATGGTGGTTCTGCGGGCCTGCAGTATGTGGTTGGGGTATTCATGATCTTAACTTCTGAACAGTTTTGGATTGAGGGAGGGAGGGGGGAGAAATCATCCAAGATAGCTTCTAAGGACAACATCACATCTAATTTCAATACAAAAATCAAATATTCATTGTATGCATTTAGATAATTTTTTTTCAAATTTTTCATTTTAGGTGACAAATCCTATCCAGAAGTTATATGCATACAGCTATTAAAACCCAAAGAAAAAGAGTTTTCAGCATATTTAACAAGCTTAAGGTCCAGAACCAGTAGTGGAAATGGTCTCAATTTACAAAATGTCAGAAGATAAAGATGAAGAAGACAAAGAAGATAAAATCTAGGATATACAAACCTGCTTGGCTGCACAGCAGTAAAAATATTAACTGCTTTCGCTTCTAATCAGGGGAAAAACTAAAGTATTTCTTTAGCAAAGTAAACAACATTTCTCTTCTCTGAATTCCAGTGGTAACACAGACCAACAAAAACTTAAAAGAACCAGTAGGATCTCCTCTCTACCGACATGGCTTACAGACAAGTAGCAGCAGGAAAGGAATGTCTTGATCTCTTCCATAGACCACAGTTGTCTCCAAAGCCCCCGAATCTACCAGAAACTGTGTTGCAATGGATAAAACTTGATATAAGTCATGCTGATATAGACAGACTTCCTGAGTCTATTGCCAGGTGCAAAAATGCTAAGCATATATTAGCAGGGGGTAACAGGTTATCTTCTTTACCACAGTCCATATCCAACCTGCCATATCTCACAGTGTTGGACTTATACAGGAATGCCTTCACTACATTCCCCATAGCACTCTGTCGCCTAACTAACTTAGAAGAGCTTTACCTTAATAACAATAAGCTGTCTGATATACCAAAGAAAATCGCAAAAATGAAGCGGCTTAGAAAATTTATGCTCGATCACAATGCCTTAACTACATTCCCCATAGCACTATGTGGCTTGACTAACCTAGAGGAGCTTTACCTGGGTGACAATCAGCTATCTGACATACCAGAGAAGATCACCAGGCTGGTGAGACTGAAAAAATTCTGGCTGTATAAGAATAAGTACACTAAATTCCCCATAGCATTGTGTGGTATGACTAACTTAGAGGACCTTTACCTGGACAAAAACCAGCTATCTGACATACCAACAGAAATCACTGGGATGAAGGGACTTAAAATATTCTGGCTTTCTCACAATGAATTCAAAACATTTCCCACAGCACTGTGTGATTTGACTAACTTAGAAGAGCTGGACCTGGGTGACAACCAGTTATCTGACATACCTCTGAAGGCTACAACAATGGAAAAACTACAGTCATTTGGTATATCATTTAATAATATAACTCACCTGCTACCTCAGATGAAGAAAATGATAAGTCTTAGACAACTATATGTGGTAGGTAATCGTCTGCTACAACCACCTATGCATACTGCCAAGCAGGGACTAGATGCCATCAAGAGGTATTTTGAGGCCTTAACTGACACCAAGGCAATCCAGTCAAGTAGAATACAGGTCAACTTTCTGGGTGAAACAGAATCGGGAAAAACTAGCATTTCACATTCACTGCAACTGGGACAGCCAGCATCCACTGAGTCAGCAGACAGGACGAGAGTGGTGGAACAAGAAACATGGGTATATGACCAAGATATTGCCTTCAATATCAATGACTTTGGGGGGCATGAGGTCTACAAAATAGGACATCCCATTTTCATGTCCAAACATACCAGTAGCTTGGTTTTCATCACTTTTGACCTTTCAAAATATGATCCAGAAGACAAGGCTCATTATCAGCTCTATATTGGAGACTGGATTGACAAAGTGCAAGCACAGATGCCAGGGATACAAATTGCACTAATTGGAACTCATCTTGATGAAGCTGAAGCTCTAAGTGTAGAAACAAAATGTTCTGCAATAAAGAAACAACTTGAAGACCACAAAAACAAAAATAAAAAGTGGTATGACATTCAAAAAGAGACTGTTGAGAATAAAATACAGAAAACAAGTGACTTCTCACCAGCTCTTCGCCAGGCCTACCAAGAAAAAGTAGATAAAATGCAGTCCTTGTCTCATCAAGTTCAACCCATCTATGAGCATATTTTCAGGGTGAGTTCAGAAAACATGACTGGAGTTGAAAAATTAAAAAAGTACCTCATTGATTTTGCCAGGGAAAGAGCAGAAGTTTTGCCAGAATTGTGGGTGAATGCAGCCAAGAACATCTGCACCAAGAAACAAGAAGGCTCTGAGAACACGCTTGATTGGGAGATGCTTCAAGAACTCATTATGCAGTCTGCACCTCACGCATGGAGGGAAAGGAACTCACATGAAGAAACAAAGAAAATAATGTGTGACATCTTAAGTTTCCTTGCTCATCGTGGAGACATCATTTGGTTTGATAAAAGCCCCTCACTGACAAAAGTTGTTTTCCACAAGCAAGAAGTTCTTGAAAATGTTCTCAAGGCAGTACTTAGTCATGATCCAGAGGCAGTTTTACAAAAACTCCAGGTGTCCATGAGGTTTACCAGAAAAAAAGCACGCACCTTACATGCAGACATCTTTACCAGAGGCATCATATCTAGACAAGCTATGAGCTGCTTGTGTGAGCCCTTCAAATTGTCCACCACTGAAGTTGATGCCATGATAGATCTGTTGCTGAAACTTGAGCTGTGTTTCCAAGTTCAGGAACATGAGTCTAACCTTTCTTTTCACTTTCCATGTCTCCTTCAAGAAAAAAGACAACCTGAACTAGAAACCAAATGGCCCAGCAAGGTTCCCCCAGACATCAATCAACTAACTCTTCAGGTTATCTTTCCATACAGGTGTCCAGATGGCTTATATGAGAAATTTTCTGTTCGTCAGCACAAGCATCTTGGACTCCTGAAGACCAAACGAATGGACTGGAGGAATGGGATGTATGCAGAACTTGAGAGGTGCAAAATGCTGCTGACACAGGAGAGAGACCAGCAAAATCTTAGTCCTGGGCAAGACCCAGACTTGATTATCAGTATAGCTGTCCGTGGACAACATCTTTCAGACCAGTGGCAAGTTCTAAAACGTGCCCATGGTGACCTCATGAACATCATTCATGAGGACTGGCCTGGGCTGCCATATGACAAGTACCTGGTATGCCCCCACTGTATGAGTGAGGACAACAAGGACAGTGAGCACCAAACCCTCCTTCTTGAAGAAACACCTAATGTTCCCCTAACCACTACTCAAGATCCAGAGGAAGTACATGTACCAACCAAGAGAAAAAGATATACTCAGAAAGCACCAACTCTCTTCCCTGGAGAGATTCTTGACCAAACCAATGTACCAGGGTCTGGCCCCAAAGAAAAGTGGGTTCCATGTGTCAATACTGGTGTCTATAGCTACATTCCTGTAAACCTGGTCTATCCACCCAGCTGGCAGGATGGTAAGCATAGCACTATCAAAAATAGCATTTTGATACCATACTTCTTTTGTTTTTAAGATCTTTGTTATAAAAAAATGTTTAAAAATATTTTCTTTACCTTAAGATGACATACCCATAAACTTGTAATAATCTGAATAATGCTACTGATCTGTATAATATTTATGTATTATACATTTCTATTCGGGGTGTCCTCAACTTATAAGGTGATACATAATTAACAACCTTGTCTCTCACATACTATTGTGTTAATGCAGTAAAAAGTCTTGAACACACTTCTGACATGTAAAAACATGACAAAACATGACAAAATGGTATTTTAGTATATATGCTTAATATATGTATAATTATTATGTAAAGTGCATTCAGAGTACATAAACTAGTATGTAAAATCATTGATCAGATGATCAGGTACTGTATTTTCATTATTCAACTGCTATTACAATGGAATTAAAACTGATAATTGCAATGCCTCACACCTTTAAGGAACCTACTACCAGTATAATGTGTGTTAAGCTTTTAACAAATAATACACTATTGTTTAATCTTTTTCAGCTATACGTAAACATAAAACTGAACTGTGTGAAAACATCACAGAACCTTGTCTCCTGGACATGTTGGATAAGTTCCTCCAAGAAGGCATCATCACTGACCGTGAAGCTCAGACAGTGAGAGCCCAGCCCTCAACTGACAGGGTAAAATGGCCAGAGAAAGTTGCAGTATTCCTGGATATTCTAATGAGAAAACCTTCAAAGGCACATGTTACACTGTGTCAGTGTCTGCTGGAACAAGAACGGACTGATCTTCTTGAATTGATCATGTAACAGTGGCATGTCCAAAGAAAGTTGCAGCATTCCTGGACATTGTAACCAGGAAGCCTAACAGGGCATTTGATATACTGTGTCAATATTTTCAAAATCCAGGACAGACTCATCTTCTTGAACTGATCAAGTGAGCAAAATGTTTTCAATATCAAGGACAGACTCATCTTCTTGAACTGATCAAGTGAGCGAAATGTTTTCAATATCAAGGACAGACTCATCTTCTTGAACTGATCAAGTGAGGAAAATATTTCAGAGCACATGTAATAATCAAAATATGCAAAATAAGAACAATGACAATAAAGGAAAAGTAAACTGACAGGAATCTTTGATAACTAATACAACAAGAGTAGTTAGTACAGTGTAGTTAAGAAAATTCCAAGACCTTTATCAATAGGTGAAAATGTGACTGTGTTAAAGAATTCTACAGAGTACCAGTGGGAACTATTTAAATGTTGTACTGAAGATCATAACTGCCAATACTGGTATATTATTTTCCGAATTTGTAATTTTTTAAATTTAAGTATACTGACATGTAATTGTGTTTGATTTGAATTTGATAAATAACCTACTGGTTCCAAGTAATTTGATATACTAGTTATGAAAGTACATTAAAAGTTAAAGTAAAAGAAAGATTCAATACAAGTATGTTGACAGTACATGCACTTGACAAGTAAAACAAGAAAGATGAGTTCCCTTTAGGCAGACTGTGAATCTTACAAGCTAAAGTCATGGAAAAATTTATGTAAATAAGGGACCAATGTTCAAGGTTGCTAGTTATAAATGTTTGTTTTCAGTAACAGGGGCAGATCCAGACATATATTTTTGACGGCCTTCCAAATTCTCTTTGATGATCCATCCTCCATTTTTGACCATCTTCTGACAGAAAATGAGATACCTTTCAATGTAAACTTGAAAAATTCTGACTGTCTCCTGGAAGACCCAGAAGACAGCTTCTGTCCGCCCCTGAGTAGGAAGTGAAAATATTCAACTTATTTAATAAAATGGATTGTTTACCTTCCTTAAGGCAAATTCTAATTCCTTAGCTTGATATGCAGGGTTGATGTTCACCTGTAAATAAAAAGTTCTTCATCTTCAATCCAATAATTCATTCATTCCTAACATTCCAAACCATTTCGATGTATGTACAGTTACAAATATGTATTGTTTTTAAATTGACAATATTTTACATGTTATTACCAGAAAAGTGTTATTTTTTAAACCAATTACTGAAAAAAATCTTCTGTGGCATGTATGCCATACAGGTACCAGTGTATCAACTATAGAGAAAAAAATATAATTTAACAGTTATTCTATCTCTTCAAAAAAAAAAGGTTTAAAACTATGGTTACTGTTTGATCTTTTCAAACCGGGAAAATTCCAAATTTTATAGATACTGTATTTTTGTTCAGTAATAAATTTTTAAAATTGAAACATTACTGTTGAGTGGCAGCAACACAAGTGAAAAGCAGAATATCTACGTAATAGTTCTATTCTACACAGTAAGAGCAACAAAATTCTATAAAGAAATGTATTTTAAATGCTTCCAAAATTATGTACCTGAAAAATTGATACATTTTCCCCATTGAAATCATCAAGCCATTACTGTAATAATTATAATCTAGGCTAAAGTTTACCAGTATTATGCCAACCCTGGCAGTGGCATACTGAGTCAGGACCCACTCCTCTGTATTTGGTCCCCACATTCCAACCCTGTCCCCTGGCTTAAGTCCAAGGGCCAGAAAACCTGCTGCAAGACGGTCAACCTGAACAGACAGACATTAAAGCTAAATTTATATTTAATATAACATACCAGATATGCACTGGCAGTAGTACACAGTGACAGAGAAAAATGGGAATTTTTTTTTTTCGCCAAAAGGCCATCAAATTGACAACTGATATTCCTATAAGTTTTCCCTGCAAGTACAGCTAAATGAAATATTTGAAAACAGCATTTACATCTTATAACCTGTACCTCATTTCTAAACTCTGTAAAGTTTTTTCTGATTCCATCCCTACAAAACACATATGCAGTTCTATCTCCACATCTGTCACTTGTTTCGTCTAGCAATCTGCCAATAGTTTTCCCTATCAGAGGACGCTCCGCAGGTCCATGGACATAACTCCAGTCCAACTTTCCTGTTTTTTCATGGACACTGAAAAGGACAGAGAGTAATAAAACATTGTTGAACATAATAAGGCACAGATGGCATTTTTCTTTTTCTTTCACTCATTTTATTTTATTTTATTTTTTTATTTTTAATTTTGCTACAATATAGGTTTCACACTCATTTTGCATTTTGTACTTTATTAAAATTGAAATTTACAATCTATTTTCAATATTTCTAACGACCTTTTTCAAATTTTTTTTTTTTTTTTTTTTTTTTTTTTTTTGTCATCCTCCCCACTCCATCATTGTTGCAATCACAGGGAGCCAGTTAGGAGTGGTCTACTGCATAGGCTTTAGAAGATGCAATTTGTATCAATTTGTATTTCTCATACTGAACATTTTTGTCATGAAAAATTCCTTCACGTTACCTATTCCACTTGCATATTTCTCTGCTTACGGTTTAACTGTTTCTTTACACCATTCCCCATACTTATTTTGGGATAAACTTTAAGTGGTGACATAATTTAGTACTCTTAAGGCAATGTTTGAAAGTCTGGCGTTACTACACTGCCGGCCACTAATTGTGAATTTATGCTCTGTTTAACACTAATAACGGGACACAAAGCAGATAAAAAATACGTAAATAAAAATGCCAATGGGAACGCATATGTTTTTCGTATTGGTGTATGAGACATGCTTTACAGCCGTGGACAGTGCTCGGCAACACTGCAGCTATTGGTCGTATTAGCTATATCATTTCCTGTGGGCAATGACCCCTAAAATCAGAATTAAGATTTCCGCATCTGCAGCGCAGAATGTACATGTGTAAATGTCAGGAGTATTTACTGTAACTTCTGGATCGTGAGTTTTGTTATAAACATTACCTGTCAGTGCTGAGATGTCTTCTCGATTGTGCATAGCGGTTGTTGACAAACCAGCCGAGGTTGCGAGAGTACTTGATTAACAGTCGCCTTGTCATAACGGCACCTTGCAAAGGATAAACTTAAAGTTTGTAAACATAATCTCCCCCGATGACCCAGTTAGATCCACTTAACTTAACATAGTTGCGGGGTCGCCAATAGGAGGCAGTACCAGTATGGTGCACCGCCCTCCGCAAAAATATCAGGCCTGCGGCAAATTTGCGGCAAAGTGCAATTCCTTCTTTAGAAATTTGCCGCAAATTAGCAGCAACTCAAACTTTAATTGCAAACTTTTGCAAACTCGTTGCTTCAAACTTTTGGCTTTGTTGATCGAGGGTGGTGCGCAGATATTTCTATTCATTTTTATAATTTTAAAAGGTACACAATAGTTTGGCATATTTAGCTGAACATTTAATGGAATCAGTGGCAGGTAAATCCGATGTAGTTGCCCTTTAAAGATGCATACAAAGTCAATTTTTTGTCACAAAAACCAACCAAATGCCAGCATATAGTTACAAGTAGTATAACTAAGAGAATTACCAAAAGGTATTGTTTAATTTTACCCCAAAGTGATGTTTGAACAGATTTTTCTGCTGGTATTCTAAGCTGTATGTCAATGGGGCAGGAAAGTAGGTCACGGAAGAAGGTTAAATTTACAACCATAAATTTAAAGAAAGGAGCAGTCTAAAGGTCTTTTATGGCCGATCGAGTGATCTATTCAGTTTATCCCTTGGCATGTCGAAATTATTTGAGTCATATAAGAATCTAGTGGAAGTGGTTTACATGTGTTACTGGGAATCCACACTCCACCGATGCTCGGTTCGTATGTACCTTTAACCTGCATATAGCAGGGTTGATCGGTATGGGGATGGAGATGCTAAATCCACAGTGCGTTCCAGTAAAACACACACACACACACACACTGTGTTAAAAGTTCTTTTGGAGGAACGTCAAAATGTAACTATTTTATCAACTTTGTGCTTCTTTGACGGGTTAAAAACTAGCTGTAATAAAAGTCAAGGCATATTCATGCTATAGGCATATTCATACTAGGGCTGCACACAGATTCAAAGCAAGATGTATATCAAGTGTTTGCGGCAGATTTGTTAGATCTAGAACAATATATCTTGTTACAACTTGGAATTTTAATAGATCTCATCAAAGGCAAGTAATTACAATAATGTCCGAGACTAAGTAATGTAACTTACGAAACTTTGGGCGGTTGAAATTTTTATTGATTTATTTTAGTTGACATACGGGCCTGCCAAAATTATACATGTATGTACTTTGCGAAATTAGGCACGTCTCAAATGTGCGCGTTTTCTGCTGACATTTGTAACATTCAAATAAAATATAAAGCTTCACCCGCTACCCCACATCAGCGTTATGTATTTTCTTCCATTATAACTATATTGGAAAACGATTGAAAATATCACAATGTCGCATTTTTCATATAAATATATCCTGCGAAGATATAATTATCAATTCCGACACTGACGCTTTTTGTCTTCTGTATCAAAGGTCAATGAAAGGGTTGCTGGACGGGGTTTTCGCGTCAAATCGTTTCTTCGGAAAAAAAGAAAGAAAGAAAGAAAGAATTAAAAAAAAAAGAAATTTCCCCCACGTGCGTATCATTGCCCCACTCGACCCTGCACTGGGCTCAATGTCCCGCCTTCAGTTCATGGTGAAATGTCGACATCAATTTATTCATTTTTATTTTATTTTATTTTAATTAATTTTTTATGTCTACTTTATTTATTTATTTATTTATTTATTTATTTATTTATTTATTGGGAAGGGGGTAATTGTTTTTAAATGTTCTGTTTGGGGAAATGTAGGTAACTTTCATGAGCGTTAGAGGATATATACGTTAAAAATATATATGAAAGGTGTTTGACTGGCAAACACGTACTGAGTGCAGTTTTGTTTCATGTAGCAGCTAACGAAGATCAACTAACGCATCTCAGTCCTTCAATACACACCCGAGACAAGTTGTAGCAGGTGCTGGGTGCTCTGACCTAATTGTGCTACGCATGCGTAAGTAACAACTTCCGTAAAGCCGGTGTGGGGAACCGAAGGTACATGTTTTGTATTATCTTCTACTAAAGGGCGTTTAAACGGGGTTTGGATAAGAAATAATTAATGCCAACGTGTAACTTTGACGCTAATGTACTGAAGTAGCTATAAAATGTTCTTAAGTTGTAAATATAGGTGCATTCTTAGCTTGTGTGTTTAAGGTGCATCTAAACGAAGTGAATCACAATTAATTATATAATAGATTTCTGAAGCATTTTCTGTTGTCATAAACGTTACCTCCGGGAAGGATTGTAAATTGGCAATAAAAGGGCCTGGGGTGGGGGGGGTCATGATGAGCTGAGATTTTTGACACCCCACGGTAATAATTGGAGTTGGTCATATTTTTTTATTTATTTGATTAATTTTTAAGTGTTGACATCAAGTCAAAAAAGACGACGTAAGTACAGTTTGTATTTAAGTGATCTTTATTTATCATTCTTCACCCTAATTATTATTGTGAACAATTCAGATAGACCATGATGGCAGATGGTCAGCAGCAAACAAGCAGCTCCTATCCCTTGCCTCCCATGCAGTTTATTAACCACTACACAGATGAAAATGTGGCCAGAGGAAGAGTTCCCAAACCACCACCCCCAATACAGGTAACAATTATTGTCCATTATCATGCCATTGCCTATTTACAAAATTTAAGTGTGGTTCAAGGAATCTTTTGTGCCAAATTCACATTTCTTCAAGAAAAAAAACCTTCTTACAAACGATTTTTCTTAGATTTGATGTTTTGTGCCATATTTCTAATCAACTTATATTTCACAATTCGGACATCAGACAGGTTTTGAGCAGTTTTATCCAATTTTGGTTGTAAATTTTGAAGGATAAGAAGTTTTACAGGATATTTAGATGTAAAGATATGACTTTCGAACATTTTCAGACTTATAATATATAATACAACTTTTTTTATTTTTCAGGATAGCTATGCTATGTTTGGGAACACATTCCATGCAGATGATGTCATCATTCGCCCCCTGGAGAGTCAGGGATTGCGCAGACTGTATCCACAGAATTACGACCACAAAAAAGAACTGAAAAAACTCAACCATTCTCTACTGGCCAACTTTTTAGATTTGCTGGACATTCTTATAAAGAGTCCCGATTCCCCGAAACGAGCAGAAAAAATTGATGATTTGAATCTCCTGTTTATTCACATACATCACTTAATCAATGAATTCCGTCCACACCAAGCAAGAGAGACTTTGCGTGTCATGTTAGAGGTGCAGAAGAGACAGAGATTAGAGACTGCAGACAGATTTCAGAAACATTTGGAAAAAGTGTATGAAATGCTCCAAACCTGTGTGAGTTCTTTGCCTAGTGACACCAGCTTGGACAATAAGCTTCTGGTGAAAACGGAGGAAGAGACCGTCACGACAGAGACACAACAAGATGACAAACAGTCTGAGGGAGATTATCTCGATCTACGAGATGTGATGATGTGTGACATTGTTGATTCTATTACATGAATTTTGACTGATGCAGCAGTGAAACAGTTTATGGTCGAATATAAAGATATATGCCAACCCAGAGAAAGCCTGTAGCATGAAGTCATACTGTAAATGGTTTTGAATGTCGATCATTTGTATGGTAAAATTTTCTGTTTCGAAGTATTTTTTAATTTAGAACCATGGTGGATACTAGAAAAGACATTTACTGCCCTGTTTTCTGACTGTTGTGAGGAGTAACCGTGTGTTACATGGTTACAAAATAAATTATTTGTAAACCCATCAGAACACTGCATCAAACATGTTGAAGACGCAGTAAAAAAGATTCTTCAGATGTGTCACATTACCGTAGATTCTTTCCAATTCTTGATACTTAAAAGTGGAAAATACTACAGCTCCAAAATGAATTCTTCAAATATTCATCGGTCATGTAACAAAACCATGTTTTGTCCTCATCTTTTTCCTCTTTAATTCAACTGCTGACATCCTGAGTTCAGTGCATGTGAAAGGTAATTGGCAGAAATAACTGGCCACACTTCAGAAAATGAAGCTTAAACTTTAATGAAAGAAGTGAACACCAACACATTTTTATACAAGTACATTTATAGCATTTATTCCAGTAAAGATATAGGAACAAAATGGCCTATTTTTTTCTGTAATGAAATTTTGGTTAATGATTCAAATAATTTGATTAGTCACTTAATGGATAAAGAAGAATTTGACAGCTCATGCATTTGAAGCCCTTAATAAAAATTCTTGTGATAAATTCAAACCAAACTCACAAGTATAAAAGATAAAATTTTGTTATCAAACGAACTTTATAAGAAGCTTCTGAGATTCAAAATTAAATCCTTTTCAACATTTCAATAGAATGTTAAAATTACTTGCAGGTAATGGATTTTTAAAAATCGTATAAAAGATTATGCTAAACAAATGTAGCCAAAAATATATGACATAATGTGCTGATTTTAAGATAAACCTATGTGAAACCAAAATTTGGCATCTTAATCATATAAATGGTTCAGTGTCACAGCATCTTTTTGCCAAACATACAATATCCACCCACACATGCCAATTGAAGCCTTTACAATTTATTTTTCTTATATTTCATTAGGGAGCTTCCTCTGAAGAATTTGTGTTTAATTTGGAAATTAACATAAATGGATTATGTTTATGAAAGTTATTGAGTTTTTGGTGTTTGTTTTTGTATGTATTTTTGCATAATAATTTTTTCCTCTTAGGTGTCTGTTGTTGATGTTGTAGTACTGGCAATTACAGTTCAGAGACTGTAAAAATGAAAACCTTTATGTGTCATGGTGCAAAAAGTAAACCAAAAACACCAAACTGTGTTGAAGCATCAAACATAATATAACATGATATAAACCAAAGAGGAAGAGAGATTCTGTCGTTGTTCATTCATTGCCAACAAGAGTACGCATATACATACCCTGTTTTGTACAACAAATAGGACGTCTAAAAGATGTCAGCTGAATTGTAAATAAGCTACATGTATACAGTTATATGTCCTAAATGACACCTAGTTCTTTTAGCAAGAAAGTAGAAATTTAAGAGAGAGAACCACCCTCACATCTTCTTCCCTTTGACCACATCTGGGATAGTTTCTCTCATCGGAGTCAAGCTGAGGAGCAAAACATGGCGCTCATAAGCTTTTGAAGCACGGAAATGGTTATCTGTGCCATGAAGACGATCCAAAACACCAAGAACTCCAAAGTTGTTGGTGAACCTATAAAAAAAAAATTAATTAATTAATTGATAAATGGAAAATAGTCACATTTCAAATGGTCTTTTCAGTTCACATTTGTTTATCTGGGTTCACAACTCTGCAATGTTTCAGAAATACAGCATTGCCAACCCTGAGTACGTACACACTGAGTATAGGTCATAAATGAGGTCCAAGACTACTACCACTGTCTCACATTCTTGTGCACATAACTTATATGAAATTTCACACAATATCTGTTTGAAAAAAAGTCTTGTAAAATACTGTGACATCTTCACAAAGATACATACTTGAAGTGGTGAAAGTCATGTGCCTCAGGTGAGGGTAGGAAGGGCAGGTGGTATCCACAGTGTGACACGGTGGTTGACAACAGGGCCAGTACAAGCCACAGGTAAGAAGTGGCCATGTGGGATCCCATGATGGTCGGCCCCATGAACACTGGTAACATGTTACTGAAGATGTGTTCAATGGGGTGGGCGTACAGTGCTATGATCCCTATGGGGGCAGTCCACTCATGGTGACGCTTGTGGATCAGGCGGTAAATGCGGGGGTGATGAAAGGTCCTGGATATTGAACACATAATTACACAAGTTTTAAGTAAAAAGTTTATGAATATTCTCTTGAATTTTCAATGGCGAGCCCCCTACTGCTTATAATAAATGTTCATCTGACTTAAGTTTTAGTTTCTCACAATGTCTAGTGATTTTTAAATATTCACGTATATTATTAATTTTATGTAGCAGTCGAATTCATTAAACATTTTTTCTCAAATTAATAATGAGGGGGGTGAAACAGTGAAATTTCTCTTTTTTCTTAGGAGAAGGTATTTCATTTTATAAATCATGACAGGTATTACTGTTAATTCTTTTATCATAAATCTTTGGATTTTTTTAATAATCCAATACAATGCAGCCTAACCTGTGTGAGTAATAAAAGAAAAACTCCTCCGCCAGTGAAAACACCAGTAATTCCAGAAGCACCCACTGAAACGTTGGAAGACTTTCAGGCGTGTACTGACAACCTCTCCATCTCATCACCACAAACCACAGAGCACAAACTGGGAGTCCAATCACCATCTGGTTGAACAATACTGTGAGCACTGCATTCTTCAGCTTTTTGCGGTCCACCTGATGTAGGACAGGAACTATGATTAGAATGCTCTTCATGTGTGTGTGTGTGTGTGTGTGTAAAACAAAATTTTGGGGAGCTGGGAAAAGGCCTTGTTATTGACTTAGCTGTGCCCTGCCTATAATTTGTCAGTCTCAAGGATCTAAGTACTGTAACTTACTGCACATGTTACAAATAGGATAAAATATCGAAAATTCATTTAATTACTTAATATTAAGTAACTAGTTTAAACAAATTTATTAAATATTCCATTGTTAATGGCACGTATTAAAAAAGGTACATGGCATTAAGCAGACTTTAAAAAAAAAACGGTCACACCAATTCTCTATGATCTCATTCCCAGAAACAACATGGGTCTATGTAGATTGATCCAACTCTGCAGTGACTCTTGCTAAGTGTAATCAGCTTAACTGTATGACATACCTCCTCTTGTTACCAAACATACAAGTATAATCACCAGCTTTTCTGTATTCTACTTGAAAATCAGGAGGAGCCATGTTAGTCAGTTAAGCTGATTGCACTCAGCAGGAGTTCCCACAGAGCTCTATGTAGATGTTGGTGTCTATGGGAATGGGTCGTATGACTACTTACTGGGACATTAGCATCTGGCTGTATCTTATACTTGAGCACACTCTGTGGAAACCCAGTGACATCCACCAGCAGGAACAGTGCATTGAATGTCCAGAATACTACTAAGGCAAGCAAATTAGCACCTGCAAATCAGGAAAATTTGAGAAAAAATCATTTTGCAGGATTTATAAGTGATATGAGACATGGGAACTTGCAACTTATAAAAGAGTTCCCTAAATGCAGCTATAGAAAGTTTTTCGATACTGTATGTGACACTCCAGTAGTGGCTTGTAAGTATTGATACTGTAAACTTTTTGAAGATCTTGGCCTAAATTTTTCCTTTTTTGTTTCACCATATAGTTTAGGTCACCATTTGATGCTGTGCTATAACATACCTGGCCACTGACAAATGTGTATCCTGAAGTTAAAGTAGGCAAAAATTTAATAGTGCATGTTATCTCTTATTAATAAACAAGCAAATAATATATCCTACCAATTACTCCTATGACAAACTCATTTCCATCACAGAAATTGTATATTTTCTCCCACTGTCTTTGCCAAAAATCTCCTGATGCTCCCCACACTTGTTGTAAATGCCTACAAATAAATACAATGCCAAAGACATTATATAACATATAACAGTACTGTCAATTTACCTAATTCTTGCACTTTATTTTTAACTTTTTAAAAACAGCATAGGTCAGACATGGCAAAAACTGGGACAAAAAACTACCTTTAGGCCACCTCATACTTTGGGTGAAAAAGAAATCATTTTCAGAACTCTGGAATCAAATGTCCTTCTGCTTCTGCAGCAGAAGCAATTCCTGAAGGTTTAGACCTACTGTAGTCACCATGTGCCTTGTAGTAGTAATTAATTAACTAACCCAGTCAATTACCCACTTCTACAAGACTGGTAGAGTAACAATTATCTTACCAAGTCACAGAATTCCTAAAAGCAGCAAAAGTAATGAGAGCTGAGCCTATGATCCACGCTGCCTTTCTCACAGAGTCTACCAGCCGTACTGCCTTCTGTGGAGGACTAGACTCTGTAGAAGTAACAGGACCTTCTTGGGCCAGCATGATGATCTGCAGGGGAAAAACATGTAAATGTTATTTTGAATCTTTTTATTGAAGTCAAACTGATAAAAGGGCAACAAAAGCAAAAATTGAGGACATCCTTTTTTTTTTTTTTTTTTTTTTTTTTTTTGGGGGGGGGGGCACTTATACTGTATATCCAGTGTTCCCCCCTACCATACATGTATATATTTTTAATATATTTTTTGAATTTATTTGTGTGATTACCATTCAAATAAATTAGTTTGGCACTTTATTTACAAATTAAAAGATGCTTTAACATTAACCTTGATGCCATCCAAATTTATACGGATTGAATATTTACTGTAATCTCATTGTTTAAATTAAGTGCATTAGGTTTATTAAGAAAAGGAAAAATTTGTCAGTAAATTTCAAAATTAAATAGCAGAGACACTGCTTGAAGTCACCAAGTCTCCTAATTTGACTGGGTGGTGACTGCAAATAAGTACCTTTTTTTTTTTTTACTCTTTCTCCGATCTTTCCCTTCTCGATTTCAATCCACTATAAATACATGTATATTTATTTTTGTTAATTTACGATCACACAAGAATGCATGTGAGCAAATTGAATCTGTTGTACTAATAGCAAAAATATGTATACATATCAATATTTATCTATTTATTTATATATATTTATGAGATTTTTCTTTGTTAGTCCAAAGTCCGTATCACATAATTATCATTACATTACTGCAGTCCAAAGTCCATTTCATACAGTATGTCAGTTCAAGACATGTGTATATTCTCGTTAAAACTCCTTCGAACACCGTTTCAAAATACAAAATACACATGCACACAACACCAAAATCATAGATTCTCTCTTTGTACTGCACAGCTTTTCTAAACAGTCCATAAACATACCTTTTTAACCAGCTCTGGTGTTACGTCGTCGGATTGTTTTTATTTTGCAACCAAGCAAGCATGCGCACCTATGTAGGTCAAGGTCGTAAGTGAAGGCTGCATACGTCATGTCAGTAGACAACCAATTACATTAGTCTATTACCTGTCCACGCCCCACCCCTCTCACCCAGTGCCCTCTCACCGTTCTTTTAAGTTCTTTCTAATTAATGCGTATTTAAATGTTATATTTTTTAACGGGGGAGGCAAAATGAAGACAAAAAGCAATATTCGTAAAAAAATCTGGTCATTGAAGATAAAAAACAAGAGAGCTAGCTGGCTAATGTGCATTAAATTTATTTGTTTATAAAAAGTCATGAGTTTTTTTATCTAAATCAAGGAATCTAATATAAGTCTTTGTCTAAGTCGATTCGAACTCGAATTTGAAATTTCATATAACAGATGTAAATAATATGAATTTAATGTTCTTGTTCGAACTCAAATTAAAAAGTTCATATGACAGATGGATATATATATAATAAGCCCGTTTTCGCCAGTTTTTCCCCTAATTCAAGACATTGTCACTTTCACTTTCCTTTCTCTTTGTCCTTTATAGACATGCAGGCAAATTAATTTGCATTGGCCAGGTTGGTGTAAAGCTGAGAAGCCTTATTAATCACTTACACACGTCTTAATTCACACAGATACCCTAAAATTAATTATCATTCTAATTAAAATGCTTCATTACAATAACTGTAATATTATTATACATCATTTTTGGAGGGAGGGATAATTAATTTAAGTTATCAAGCTACAGATGGTTAGAAATCGAGAGCGTTCAGAGTGCAAAGCCTAAGAGCGAAATCGGATTAAACTTTATGTGCTGATTGTAGTGCTATATGCGCTTTTCTAAAAACAAACAAAAAAAAAAACGAAAAACACAATTAATTGTAGATCCCTCTAGTCGCACGGGTAAGGCTGGAATACGCCACGTGCAAGTGCGATCCGTCTACGTAAATATTACAGGAAAGATGGGCCCAAACGTTTTTACTTTTTTCAAAGTGTCACTGAATAACTGTTAACATCGGTGCAACAGGTAAAGCAGGTCAAACCGCTAGTGCGCATGTTTGAAAAGAATCACCACATTCCCAGAGTTCTATCGTAATAACATAACTTCCGCATTGCATGGATGAGTCTTACAACTTATTAAATTCGCCGATAAAAGTAATTTATGTTCAGGTAAGACCCTTAAAGATATAATAGTTCTTTAATTAATTTAAATGAAACTGTCTGTGTGTGTTTTATTTGGAGTGCAGTTAGTACATGTGTATAAAAATAATACTAAAAAGTAGGACGTTCCCTAATTCTGCCGCTGTAGGATGTCTAGTAATTATGACATGTTTTTTGTGTTAACCGCTTCTGTAGGATAGTCTAGTTTTACAATGATTTACAATAGTTAGACACAAGTAAAACGGTATTATATCTTTTTATCGTACAGAAAAAAAGCCGTTATCAGTTTGATTTTCATAAGTATTATATCAATATATATATTGAAATCACTGGTAAGTAACATGCAATAATTGCCATATAAGTCCATTATATCGAACACTTTTTGAAAGTATGGGGAAACTGAAGCGAACCAACTGTTTACTCTTGCAGATCCCTCTGGTTATTAGGCATTGACATTATAGTTGGATATTTTTTCTCACAAAACCTATGTTATTTGTTTAGATGTAAAATATTCAACATACTCAGTAGAGGTATAGTAATAAGATGATATTTGGTCGTGTGAGAATAACATGCCAGGCATTGTACCATTCACTTTTTAAGACTTATATATAAAGTACTCTGCTACTTGAAATGGCAAACTGCTGATATTAGTTTTGTCCATGGGCAGTCTATTCTATATTATTAAACAAGATCCTTTTGCCAATTGCTACTGTATATGCTATGCCGCCCACCCAACAACAACAAAAAAAAATGAATAAGTTTGTGAGTGTGTGTGTCTGTCTGTGTTTGTGTATGTGTGAGATCTCATCAGATATAGGTCTCTCTCTCTCTCTCTCTCTCTCTCTCTCTCTCTCTCTCTCTCTCTCTCT